TCCTGCCTTCTCCATCAAGCAAGCTCTTGACAGGACAAGGCGGAGGAAGTGTTACAGTATAAGGTTGTGCCTTGCAGAGGTGGCCAGGTCCAGTGTTCCCTTGGCTACCAGGTCATTCTCATTGTGTGCCTTTCTCTGATGCTTTGAATTTTGCACTAAAAAAAACACAACCTTTTTTTTGGGGGGGGGTTTACCGGGTATCGAACACATGACCTTGCACTTGCCAGGCAGGTGCTTTGCCACTGAACTAAATCCCTGACCCCCCAAAAAAACATTTTTATAGAAGTTTAATTCAGAAAAAAAGACTTGAAATTTGAGGCGACAGGAGAACTGTGACTGACATTCTGCTATATCTGTAGTCTCTTGTCTTGAATAATTAAATACAAGATTAAACAATAGAATGAATGCAGTTTGCCACATCTGTGGAAATCATGAAAGTAAATGCTTTCATCATGGGCTGAGAAGGCACAGAAGAATGGGTCATCTCTAATGCAGACTTGTTTTCCAAGTTCAAAGCCTGCCAGACTGGCCAGGGTTGACCAGTAACTAAAAACTTAGCGGGGTTCTTTGGAACTTTAGAACTTTCATGGTATGATTAGCTCTTTTAACATTAAATCTATAGAATATTCTGCCCCCTCTTGGATTTATGATTGTCATGTATTTGCAAAAATTAGCATCTCATTCAGGACATCTAATTTGCTACTCCCTCATTCTTTGAGATCGCAACCAAACAGTAAGGAAATACTTCTATCTTGGAGAGCTTTTTTTTTTTGGTAGATTGTTCAAGAAGTCATGAAAGTAAAGAGAGTATAGAGTCCCAGGTGACCAGGTTCTTACAAAATTACTCTAGATGGGATTAGAGAATGTTTTAAGCTGCTTACAGTATTTTTAGTAGCTAGGGTGAAGGATGCAATTTGCATGCAAAATCATCTCATAAAGGAATGCTTTTTTTTTTTTTGAACCTCACATTTATGTAATGACATCTTGTGACCAGCTGCTCTTACCCATCTGGCAACATAAAGATTTCTTTTTAGTTTCTTTGATACAGAAATTACTTACCATTAGGTTTTGCCACTGGGTCTATTTAATTGGTATTAAAACAGAACACCTTGTTTGCCAGATCTATGGTGGTTTCTGGCAGAAACTGTGAGTGACCAGCAAATCTCTGCCCTGGAGTTGTGGAGAGAATGCAATTACCTTTCTGTGTTCTCCTGAGCCTTTAGGAAACTCAACTTATGAAAAGGAAAACTAGCTTGTTGCTATTTCATGTGTGAAATTTTAATGAATTCCTGGCAATCTAATGGTTTTCTTTTACACACACACACACACACACACACACACACACACACACAATCTATTTTAGAATTTTCATCTAATAGACCTAATGAGAATTTTTGATTACTCTGTCATTCTTGTCTATTGCAATTGATGGATTTCAATTTTTTTGCAGAAATGTTGTTTATGCTCTCTGGAGATTTTCATTTTATAATTAGAATGCTCTGCACGCCTGATAGGTATGCTCTGAGTGAATGCTCCTGTGTAAACACAAATCTTTTTAGTCCTTAAAACGTAATTACATCTGACAATAGTAAATGCCAGGATGCTTATCTAGAGAAGGGGAATGTTTCTGGTGTGTGTTGGGGGGAGGCTTTCCAGGCTAGAAAATAAGATGCTTTACAATATTATAACCTCTTTCCTTTAGACAACTGCGATGAGCCTCAGGGTGAAAGAAATCTGCCTTTCATGCAGAGATAGAGAATAAAAATAGGTGCTGATCTTCATTTGGTGTCCCTTTCTCCTTCTCCCACCACACACATCAGGGTGTTATTCCTCCAGGGTTAGTTTGCAGCTGTTCCCTTAAGTCAGTTATTCCAAAATCACCTTGTGGGTGCTCCTCCGGAGACTCGGGCCACTGCAGTGCAGGGAATATGCTCGATTAATGTGGTGAGATTGCCATGGAGACAGATTGCCTGGTGTCAGGTCCTGCCTGGTGTTGGGAATTTACAGTCCGCAGACATCTTTGTGAGCTGGACAGTGTAGTTACCAGGGGCACTTTTGGAAATCATTTTCTTGGTTCTTTCAAGGGCAGTGGTGTTTGGGAGAATGGTCCTTGGTTCCTCTCTGGCCAGGAGCTGTGCTGCTTTTGTTTTGGCATGTTGATGCTTTGTTCTGCTCTGACGGAGTGGCTGCTGCAAAGAATAATCTTGATTGCCTGACCTTTAGAATGCAGACTCACAGGGACTGTTACTTAGGTGTTGCTTTGTGGGAGACACGTTGGTGCTTTGGTTCAGAGAATCGTGTGAGAGAAAACAGAAAGTTGGCTCATGGGTTTCAAACATTGTTTTTATTAGTAATAAAAGTAAGCCTGAAAGGGACTTACATATATATATCATATTTTATTTTTGGAACTGAGGTCCAACCACAAAGGTATTGTGAAGATGCTAGAAATATTAATCTCAGAATAGGAAAAATTTATTTACCAAGTCTAAAATGTCACACATTGGTCAGGGAAAAGAAGGGGGAAGAGACAGACATTAAACAATAACACCTTTTATCCCTTTTATATATTCTGCTTTCATTTACTTTTAGAACAGTCCTATGATAAACCCATTATTATTTCCTCTCCTTTACAAGAAAGCAATCAAGAGGTTAAACAGGACATGAATTTGTGATTAATCAAACCTGTAAAAAGATGCAGTTTGACTTTAGCATCCTGCCACAGCCCTGGGGATGTTTGTAAGAATTCATTGGTCACTTTCAGGGTGTCCTGTAGCGGTAGCACAAGTACAATAGGCCTCTGTAATGTAGGGCATCTTTGCTTTTTGGTGATGGGGTAATTCCTTAGCACAAGCAGAGGGCAACTTTCTGTAGCTTGTGGTTAAAACAGGTTATTTGCTGCTATGTCAGCAGTGCATCCTGACCAGGTAAATAAAAAAGCACACCAGGAAACTTCTTAGTTCATCCCAGCATCATGATATTACTGCCACTCTAGCCATTAGGAAGCAAAGAACGTGGGAGGAATGTCTTATTTTTTATTTCCTTGGAGTGAATAAGCCTTTGGATAATAGTCTGGCTGACTTCCGGTTCAACACAGTTAGGAATCCACTTTAATCATGCTTAAGCTAAAAGGTCAGCTCAGAAACTCAGAAAATACACTGGGTTACCCTGTCCCTGTACCTGAAAAATTAGATACGAGTAAAAAACCAAGTGCCAAAATGTTAGTGGTAAATTTTTCTGGAGAAGGAACAGAATTAGAAGGGATGGGAAGGGCTTTAATGTTTTAATGTATGCTCTGTATCACTTGAGTTACTAAGAATGTGTCCTGAATAATTTGTGTGGTTAGAAAATTATCCCCTCTCACTCTGAACATTTATAGCCCATAGGTTTCATAGGCTGCAGAGAATATAGATCCTTTAATTGGATGAAATCCAGTGTGCATGCTAAGGCTGTTGATGGATGTTTTAAGGCAGGAATTGGAGTTGAATGAAATATTGATTTGGTTTTGGCTCAGTTCAAAGGCTACTGTGATATTCTGATTTAGTTTCAGGTCAACAAATTTAGAAAGAAGACTTAGGTATAATACAGTTCCGTCAAAAAGGAAAGGGGGATGCTTAGTTTTTATTTAGCAAAGCAACAGTTCATGTGAGATGTTGCTTCCACTTGCTGCTTAAGAGGGATACAAAAGTGAAACTTTTGGTGTTAATTTTGCTTGATGTGCAGACCTCTACCACATTGTGATTGTACAGTGAAGTAATGGAAGCATAAGCAACAAACCTAAGCCACCACATAGTGTTTTGTTTATATTGAAAGTAAATTCACAGTGTTCAGATGAGTTCCTTGGAGCATGATATACACTGTTAATGAGGGTACAGATTAGGATCTCAGTTCTTCTGTTTTTCTTTCTTTCTTTTTTCTTTTTCCTTCTGGTTCAGGGCAGTAAATGGATTTTATGGGCTATGAACTTGGGTGAGGCCTAGAACATGGTGGATACTCCCTTGCTGTAGTGATATGAATGTGTCGTTGATGCTAATCACTGTAATGGAGAAGTGTGTTTGAATTGGGCTTGCTTTTCAAGAAAACAGTGGAGAAACTCAATTGGGCCAAGTGGTTTTCAATAAATTCCATTTCATGAGCTCTGTGTTTGCAAGATGATTATCTTGTTGGGAATAGCCATTAGCTAACTTGAGAATTGCAGCTTTTCCTCAATTTACATCGTTAACTTTAGCAGTGTTTTCTTTGAAGAACCTAACAAACTTTACTCTGTGGACTGAAAATGATATGTAGAATTTCTGCATGATATTCTAGATTGGCTGTTTTTCTTTTCCTGGGTCTACCTGATATCATAGAAAATTATTCTATTTGAACTTTTCAGAAGAGCCAATTAATTTTAACTTTCTCAGGGAGAAATTGGTGGTAGAAAATGCACTTTCACATCACCAGTAGAAGTCCTTGGGTTTAGGTTGCCCTGACCTTCCTCATGCAGGCTCAGAGATCATCCAGTTTTGAGGATTTGATGCCTATGGTGTTCTGTTTAAACAATGGTAATATGAGCCCCGATTTGGCTGTTTCTATTAATAAGATGGCAGCATAATTCATTGGTAATTAGGATGTCTCAGAGTTCTGTTCCCCTTTGAATCAGTAACTAGAAAGGATGTAATTCTAGTAAAGCCCCAGCATATTTCCTAGCAAAAGCAAAGTAAATGCACAAAACTTGAGGCATCACTGCAAGTTGGGTTACTTAAGAGCTTGTGTGGTTAGTGAAACCAGTTGATTTAAGTTATACATCTAAATAGAGGGGGGAATCTTCATTAGTCTAGTTGTGGCCAATTAACTATGACTTTTCTCATCAAAAAGAAAGAAGGTGGACTTTCACTGTATATCACAACTCTTCCATGTGTCCTCTGTGTAATTTTTAGCGGTAGTGACTCTTTTTAGAACTTTTCCTGGAGGATTGCATGCTTGATTTCTTTAATCTTCAGCTCCTCTTGGCTGTTTTGCAGGAGAGGCTGTGCCCGAAGATGAACAGATCAGTGCTAAGGACCAAAAGAATCTGGAGCCCTGTGATAATACACCAATCATAGACAACATTGCTCCTGTCGTTGCTGGCATTTCTACAGAGGAGAAAGAGAAGTACGATGAAGAGATTTCCAGTCTCTACAGACAACTGGATGATAAGGTCTGTAGCCAGAAGCTTGTAATCCTCTCTTATACACCCCAGATAGCATCAAGCCCCATGGAACTGTTTAAGGGCTGTGGATCAATCTTGATACATATATTCCTAATACTGATCTTTGCTCCAGAGTGTACAAACTCAAGAAGCTTGATTCATGTGGGAAAGAAACCTGCATGGAAAATTGATTGGAAGTTTAATTGAAAGGAGCTTAGTTGAGACAGAAAGACTGGTCCTATTTAGAATCTTTATTTCTAGAAATTAGGCTGAGCTGATTATTACAAGGGAATAGAATTGTGAGCATGTACGTGGCATTTGTTTATGTCTCTTTTCTGTCTAGACCAATCCTACTATTAGAAAAATCAACAATGCCTGATCTGTTGATGATTTCTAAAATTTGAGTGAGTTTAGTCGTATAGCCATGTGATGAGAAGCTAATAGCAGTGCAGACTGATGGCCTTACTTCATCTGGGCAGTTCTTTTCAGTGTAGATCATTGGATGAAGTAGTGTGAACATGCTAATTGGAGATGTTTAATTTTGTGACAGACTTTTGGAGCTCAAACAGTCATGGAAGTGTGCAAGTTGGATGAGAAATACAGAATAGACCTTGAAAATGTTGCATTAGGAATAGGAAATTAAATTGATGTTTTATGTCAGCTTGTCATATTGCCCTTAGAATATTATAAATTTTTCAGTTCATTTCATCAACTTTCTGGTATTTTTAGTGTAATCTTTTTCTGCTGTGGTTTAGCTTAGAGTGCTTGGGGAGCCCTCTGACTTGGATGAAGCAGGTTGGTTATATTAATGTTGCCATTAATCTTACAGTCTTCTCTCTGTGACGCCCAGAGACTACTTACTGTCACTTTTACAAGCTGAATGTGACTGGTACCTTAACGAAGCTAGCTCTTGTTTATACTGTGGGAGTTTGCATATTAACCACAACATTAAAAGAGGTCACCCTGCCTTTCTGAAAACACATTTAATAAAATATTCACACCCAAGAGAACTGGGTCACTTGTGCTTTGTATTCTGGATATACTGTTACCTTTCAGTTCAATCCAGATATTTTACACAAAACTTTAAATTGAAAGAAAAAAGGAAATCAATGGTAAGTTAACAGTTTATTTGATTCTTAATTTCTTCAAAGAACTGTTACTGTTTAAACAACAAATAAAGGCGATATGCATTTTTTTCTCATTTGAAAATCGATGGACTCATTTCTGTTAATATATAGAGAGTATTGGAATTGGCATAATTTACCTTGGTTTCAGAGGAGCTTTCATGAACTACTGAGAAAAATTTCAGAGAGTCTCATTTTGAAATGTAGCAATGAACTGATCTGAGAGACTGTAAAGTGCCCTAACGTATTCAGCTGTGGCTCAAGTACTGTTTTTAGAGTCTCCATCATGACAGCCAGCTCGGGTATTTTCTGTTATTTCATTGTCCTGTAGCATAGGCCTTGAGAGTGTGGTAAAGCATACAGTTCTAGGTTAGCATTTGCGACCCATTCTGCAGGGACTCTGACAGAGTGAGAGAAGATTAAGCCTTAGAGCCTTGGCCTGAAGAGGGCATCAAAGCCAGTGACCTGCTTCAGTGACATGGGCTGTCTGATTGTGTCTGATCTACTTCATTCTTATGTGTCTTCTCAAAGATTCTAGACGATATCTTCATGCTTCTGGTGATATAGGGAGTTTCATGCTTTGGGAATACTCAAGTTGGGATATGGTGTCTTCATAGGCCGCTGAATGGCAGGGCTGAAGGTATTCAGGAGTAGGTGAGACATTAACCCAGGGTGGATACGTGAGTTTTCCAAATTCACATTGCCTCCAGTACAGAGCTGGAGTGGGGTCACAGCTCTTCTGACTTTCAGTCTAGTGCTCATCTCATTTTGACCTAAACCCTTTAAATGAGGAATTGATCAACCCCAATGAATCTTGCCAGAGAATGGTGGGAGAAAGAGTACTTGTTTTCTTCCCAGGTGCCCCTGTGTCCCTCTTTGCTGCCTCTCCAAGGGTCTAAGGACAACTGCTCTCCCAAGGCAGTACCATATGATGGAGAAACACACTGTGGCTGGCTGATGCTCTGTCCTGGCTGGCTGTGCTCTCTCATCCGAAGCATGAGACTTGTATCTGTCACTTCATAAGATGGCAGTGGGGATTAAAAGTCTCTGCATATAGCAAGTGTTCTATAAGTATTAGCTTCTTCTTTTTTCATCTTCTTTCTGGGTCTGTTTGCTTGAGGGAGAAGCCACATTAAAAGGTTCCTGAATTGGTGGTGGCACTGAACAGGGCTAAAAGCAGAGGTGTAACACAAATTGGTGTTGGTATTGCCTCTCACTTGTTCCTAGTGATTTTTCTGATACTATCCTACTATTGGAAATCCAAGATAAGTGGAAATATAACTTGATTACTTATTACACTAGTTATTGCAACAAAAATACTTTAATAATTAAAGCTGATCAGTGACCTTTTGACAACCGGGGTTATGCATGTATCTTCATGTATAAGGAAATTAAACTACTGAATCATTTTCTGAAAAGTACTTTGAAATCTGTTACACAATGAAGATTTTTATTAGTTGACATCTGAATAAGCTCGTCAAACATGTCTTAAGAGACTCACTAGACTGAGTCCATACAGAATAGATGGCATGCCTTGTCCTGAAAGGTTTGAGAAATTAAAACAAAAACACATAGTAAACTATCCTAATTCTGTAAAAAGTTGCTTTAATAAAGGGTAAACATAGGTTGGAAAATGTCTTTGGCATAAGTCACTTGTGTCCTTATAATGTAACCTTTATTCTTCATCTTTCCCAGGTTGGACTAGGGGCCTTTGGTTTTTTGTTTTATCTTCAAAATCCCAGCTTGTCACCTGTCAAGGAGGAAGCCTGAATCTTCAGGCTTTGAAATGAGCACTGTATAAGAACAAAGTGTTCATGCCACCATTTCCCCCCTCATTATTTCTCTACTTGGACTGTTGTTCATTGTCCCAGGGGGAGAGATGGTGGCTCTGTAATGTTAAACTCCTTGAGTCTTTTATGTTAAGTCATTTAATATTTATGTGCTGAGAAGCATAAACACAAAATTGTTCCTGGTAACTGACGTGCTAAATCTATAAAGTAGAAGAGAAAGTATGTCTTACAAAATAGTCTGCTATTGGAGAAGTACTTTTTTTTTTTTTTTTTTTTTTGGTTTCACTCTGGTGTGATTTCCCTAATTCTCCTGCCAGGAATCTGATTTAAGGAGGAAAGTCATCAGTGTTTTATAAGAACATTCATATAAAAAATTCAGTGAAAATAAGATCTCTACAATGGAAAAGGAGACACAGCCTATTCTATGGATTTTATAATGTTCTCACTCTTTGCAAAGCACTAGTTTGTGACACTGAGTTAACCTGATTCAAACATATGTGTATATGCCACTGAACAGGCTGGGCAATGCATGGCAAACAGATTGTGCGACCTCAGCCTGCCCCCCTTACCTGACCTGTGGAAAAGGCAGAGGGCATCGGACAGGGGTTTTTTATGGGCTGTTGATGAGAACATCTTGGCAGGACCTGACACAGAGGAATTGAGTGACACAGAACTGGATTTGACTCTGCTTGGGGTGTAGATCTATAAAGTGTCATAAAATGGAATTTTTCTCCTATTGTTAATGGGAGGCATGTGGAAGCCAGACTCTCATTTTTGACAGGCTGTGCTTAAAATTTCATTTAAAATCATGAAAATATTGCAGCAGAGACCGAGTTTTCATGTTTTAGGCATGGTCACCTGTGCTGGGGAGGGTGGTACTGGGGGAGGTAGAGATGTTTGTGCTGGCAAGAGAGGTGGGCAGGGACTTGCCTGGCTTCTGGCAGCAACACCTGGTGATAGAAAGTGCCGGGGAGAGCACACTGCCTCTCGCAAGTCAGCGACATCCTGAGAAGAAGCATTAACGCTGAGCACCCTGACCACCTTCAGACTTTTCAAAAATTGGTGAGAAAATTAATTTCCTGTTAGAGGGAGACCTGATAATGCCAAGATTAACTCTCTGGTAAATGAGTTTCCAGTGTTCCTAAGTAAAAGATTTGACGTGGAAATGGATGGATGTTTTCTATCATGTGGCAGCATGCCTGGTCACTGGTGTGTTTGGGACATCACATTATCTGGGACATGAGTATATTACAGTGCAGATGGTTAGAGGTTCACCTGATTATTTTTTGAATTAGGAATTCACTGTTAGCATCTTTGTACAGTGAAGGAAATCTCCAAAATCCCTTTGAGTTCCCATGCCCCGTGTCTCTGATTCCTAATATCTTGTGGTTGATATCTTAGTGTCCCACTATCCTCAGGAGACTAGTACATTCAAAATGACATAACTAACAAAAAACCTAAACATGATATTTCGTTTCAGGATGATGAAATTAACCAACAGAGCCAGCTGGCTGAAAAGCTAAAGCAACAGATGTTGGATCAGGATGAGGTAAAGAATGCAATACATTTTTTCTACAAAGTTCTTTTATTACTCTGTGTTCAATGTTTGTTCTAAAAATTTAATTTGCAAAGAGTTTTTTTTCAAAATCACTCAATCATTTGGAAATTTCTTAGTAAATTTCCTTTCAGTGCCTGTTAAGAGCTGATTTGGGCTGAATTTAGAAAATAAATGTCTGACTTTGTAGAGTTCTGGGGTTTTTGAAGTAAATAGCTGCTTGTTACCTTAGTCCTGAAAAAGCAGAGACCTGTATCTTGGTATTTGGGCAAAAACATTTGTTCCTCCTCATCCCTAGTGCGGCTGTGTGACTGTCTTGCCTCTGCTATCAGCCGGGTTTGGTCCTTTACAGGGACCATGTTCTCTTGCTGTCCTATAAGGGAAAAAGAAAACCCAAAAGTAAAGTCAAATGTAAAACATAAAAGAGGTGAGAGTAATGAGAACAGAGGCCCCTGCTGCATGATACCCTATATATTTGATACCCTAAAAAGAAAGCAAATCATTTCCAGTCTCTCTTCATGGCATTTTATTACATTGTCTTGCCAAGTATTTCACAAACAGGAATCTAAACAAAGGACAGTGGACCGATCTATCAGACATTCATAATTAGTAATCCCTGTGCTGAGGATCATCTAAGCATTTTTCTGTTTTCAGTGCTTTCTGCTTCGTTGCTAAAATGCTTTCATTTGGGTCACATGAGGCGTTGAGAGCAGATGGCTTGGGTTGATGTCCCCAGCCTCAACCCTCCATAGGTGTAACTGTCTCTGTAACCATTTCCTTCCTCTCCCGTTTGGTCTCTGTTCCTCTTCATTTCTTCAGTGCAATGGTTATGCCCTCTGCCAGACATTTCCCTTGGTAACATTTGGTGTTAGACTCAGCTGTATACTTTTAACTGATTTCTGCTTGAGGTTTTCCACTGGTTTAGTGTTTTCTGCCCTTGGCCTCCCATTCTAATCCTTTGCATCCCCAACATTGGTACAGCTGCCTGAGATAAACTACCTTTGTGTTATAGGTCAAAATCTTTTAACAGATTTCTTTTTTTATGCTATCAAGGTATTATATGTTTATTATAGGAAAATCAGAAAATGGTAATAGGAACAAACATAATGAAAACATCCATAAGCTCAGGTGTCTATGTTTAACTAGTATTAATGTTGGAGTATCTCCTTCTTTATATTCATGATGCACTTCAAGAAAAAAATGATTGATTGCCCTTTAAATTCAGTTTTGGTTAACTTTAAAATCAACCTGTTTACAATATGAAATGCCAATATTTTAAAAAGCTACTTAAGTAGTTATACAACCCTCAGAAATGATTCCAAATCTTTTGTTTGCAATGTAGAATAACTAATCAATGTACAGTATACAGTGTACAGTGATTTTTGATGTATAATTCATTATTTGACTTAACTATATACAGCTTTAAACCGAAAGAAAAAAAGGAACTGATTTTCATTGTTTACTTATCTTTGTTTTGTTTTGATTGTTTAGGACTAGATTTTTAAAGTAACTTAAAAGTAAATCTAACATCTGTAATATATAGTAAGGAGGGTTTTCCGTCATTTTTAACATTTCCAAACTGCTTTTTTATAACTGGTCTTTTAACTCTTTTGGATAGAGACAAATGATAAACATTTTAAATAGCAGATTCATTGTTTTCATCTTGTCCCATTCCCCCAGCTTCTAGCTTCCACAAGGAGAGACTATGAAAAGATACAGGAGGAGCTGACCCGTCTCCAGATTGAAAATGAGGCAGCCAAAGACGAGGTGAAAGAAGTTCTCCAGGCGCTGGAGGAGCTGGCTGTTAATTACGACCAGAAGTCACAGGAAGTGGAGGATAAGACGAGGGCCAATGAGCAGCTGACAGATGAACTGGCCCAGAAAACGGTTAGAGTATTTTATATGTGGGGGTGGGGCTTCTTTGCTACCATTTTTGTATTTGTATCGATGTTTTTTTGACAGACACTGTGCAGGCAGGCAGTTGCTGAATGCTTATTCTTTGTTAAATTTTGCTGCATTCTCTGAGGTTGATTAAATCATTGAATAGTTTCTAGGAGTGACTTTTGTCTACTCATTCTGAAGCTGCATATCACAACTAGTTTACATGCAGGGAATTTATAACAACAGTAGGGTTGCCATGTAGAAAGTCAAGAGAGTGCAAACTTTGGAGCCAGAAACATCTTGCTTAAAATTTTGACTTCACAACTCTTCAGCCTTAGTCAAGACATTGGAACTTCTTGAGTACTGACTATTCTATCTCTTAAAAAACGGTAATAACATGCTCCTTGGTAATAATATAGTGTGAGGATTAATGATGTTTTATAACGCCCTCAGCACTGATCCGTGTGTGTACTACATCAGTACAGAAGCCTGAAGTGTTGTTATGATTAGGTAAAAGTGAGCTCATTCCACAAAAGGAATGAACTTCGTTCTGGTTTATAGCGTCTTGAAGGAAATCTCTACCTTTGCCTATGCTTCTTGCCTTGATTATTACATTTAAGAGCCAGGTACTAAGCTGCCCCAGTTTGTTTGCTGTCCTGTTTTAATCCAGGGTTTCGTCTGCACATTTGCTGATTTTCAGATTCTCTCAGTGAAATATGTGGCAGATTTTGCACAGCAAACTGGGTCAGGCAGCAGGTCCAGTGAGCACTTGGCAAGGCGGCTGGCAATGGGCCATGGCATTTTCTTCTCAGAAAGTGGGCGGTGGTAAAGCTAGGTGGCTGTCACTCGTCACCCTTGGCACCTCTGCCCAGTGGACTGGTATCCAGTGACCACAGTTAGCCTGCTTTGCGACACACATCCAGTCCTCCTGGGTAAGGAACAGCAGCAGATGGGGCAGGAAAGAATGATTTACTGACCATGGAGCTGATGGGAGATGCTACCTGCTTCTATGGATTTAAAAACTTGAAATAAGCAATTGACAATGCCAAACAAAACAAAATAAATCCATTCAGAAGTTACTTAGGAAAGGAGGCTTGAATCTTTTTAAATGTTCCCTGTAGGAATCTTTTAACTGCATTCTGATATTTGTGTCTCAAAATAATGAAACATTTTCCAGAATACATTTATTTTCTCTCAAACCAAAATATTATTAGACTGCTAGAGGTACTATTTTTAGTCAGATCATTAAAACATGCGCTAGTGAATTAGCTACATGTGAGAGAATTATATAAAGGTCTTTAAATTAAACTCTACAGCTTTAGGAGTAGAGGAATTATTTCTTTGTTGTCTAAATTTATACTAAGACATCAAAAGATGGCTTTTCTCTTGATGTTAAGAGTTCGTAAAGATTGGGCTGGGGATTTAGCTCAGTGGCATAAGCGCCTGCCTTGCAAGTGCGCAGTCGTGAGTTTGATGTCTGGTACTGATAAAAAAAAAAAGAGTAAAGATATATACTTTTTAGTAATATGCATGAAAGGTAGAAAAGAGATAAGTTTGTTAAACTTTGGAAATAGAACTTTTGCTGTATGCTTCTCTGGGCCGTGTTAGCTCAGATCCATTTATTATTATGAAATAGGTCAGAATTTGGAAGTGGCCCAGAGACCAGGTTTGCTTGAGAGGGGAGGTGGGGCACTCGTAGCTATGTTAGACCCTGAGCTGAAACAGGGTGAACTGAAACAGCATCTGGCGGGCAGGAAGATGTAAGTAAATATACACATTTCAGGGCTCCTTTTTTGGATTTTATTTACTTTTGGTAATTTACTTCACTGATCTGGAAATTATCACCTGATATGTAAACATATAACATATCTCTAGATGTGAAATAACTTATCGAAGAATGCAATATTACATTGTAATTTTCCTTGAAAGGACTCATGCTGAAGTCACAAGAAAATGGTAAAAGAACTCCATCCTACACGAAGCTACTATACTTTGTCATGTTGCATGTTTGAAATTGATGGGCAACCCTTTTAATTTGTGGTTGGAATTTGTTTTTTCAGACTACATTGACAACCACACAGAGAGAACTGAACCAGCTACAGGAGCTTAGCAACCACCAGAAAAAGAGAGCTACTGAGATCTTGAACTTGCTGTTGAAGGATCTGGGGGAAATAGGTGGAATTATTGGCACCAACGATGTGAAGACCGTAAGTTGGTTACCCCTACCGCTTCCTGTTCTATACCTACTCCGACTGTTGAGTGATTCTGAGTTTGAGTTTGAGTTCTCTGAGTTTGGCACTGTGCTTTGCATGGTCCACGTCCTGGGAAATACTGGAATGAATGAAAAAAGGACTGATTGAATGATTGAGTATTGGGCTGAGGGTGAGAAAAATAATTTGCATTTTGAGTTTGTGGACTGTCTTCAAATCCTGGTTGGCTTTACGTAAATTGGTTTATTCCTCAGACTTATGTGCCAGTGTCACAGAAGTTTGGAGTTGAATTGCTTAAGCAACAATTACAGTCTCAGAATATCACTTGTTTTCCTTAAGAACCCAAAGCAGTGAAAAGTCTCAAACAAATTAATACGAATTAGGAAAATGTGTAGCCGCAAATAACAGGATTTTAACAGTGGCTTAAGAAATAAAAACAGGTTTCATTATCCACAATATGCAAAGTCAAGAATGCTGGTGTTCAGTGTGATCTTCAATGCCTGGGACTTCCCTGCAGACTCTGAGGCTCCACTCTAGACCTGCTGCATCAGAATCTGCATTTTAGCAATACTCCCGTTACAGTTCCAGAAGCAGATTTTGACTCAGTGAAGTGACTTAATAGTGTCAAGCGCTCAGCCATTTTCTCTGTTTCATTTCTGCTATCCATATCCTGTTATATAAAAAATATCCTTAGGGTTTTGCATCATGGAAGCAAGACAGCTGCCATAGTATCAGTCATCACATCCACACTCAGTCCCTTCCTAAGCAGGCTGGGCTAAAAAGGCTGACTGCTTCCAGCCAGGAGGGACCTATATCCCATAAATCCCTAGTACACATACCTCTGTACATCAGTGGCCAGAACTGGATCCATGACCATACCAAACTGTTAGGCAAAGTAAGCTGGGGAAACAAAAGAGAACTGGATCACGGTAAATGCTCAAAATGATCGTTGTTAATCCCCTGGAGTTGTGTACACTGGATTCCCTGATGGCAAGGAAAAGAAGTGGGGAGAATGAAGGTCGGGTGGAGTTTTCCAGAAGCTGAGACTAGAGGGAAAAGAGAAAATCAAATACTATCAGTGAAGAATAGTTGACAGTTTGCTACAATATAGAGAAGTCATTGCCAGTAACCACAAAAGTAAAGTGGAGCCATTTTTTAAAAGTTTTATTGAGGTATAAATTATATAAAAATAAATCTCACATTTTAAGTAGGCAGTTTGGGAAGTTCAGACATATATGCATACGCATAAAACAATCACCAATCCTTAAGAAAATTAGCATTTTCACTAGCTCCAAAATCATGTGGGGCTATTTCTGGTCTGCATGTTGTTTCATTGATCACTCTTTGTGCCAATACACAGTATTTGGTAACCATGACTTTAAGAAGGTATATCTTGTATCATGTAGTTATTGATAAATGTGTGTTGATTTTGTCACTCGGGGAAGTGTTATATGCTTACCTTCTCACAAATCCCTGAAATGGAATTTTTTGAGTCTGGCTATTTTGCTTTTTACAAGGCTGAATTCTCCACAGTTTGTTTAGTGGGACACTCAGGTTGCAAATTGGGATTGTTAAATTCTGGAAAAGTTTCTCAAGGTTAGGTTTCCATTTATAGACCACTTCTGGGAAACAGAATAGCTCTTGGATGGTGTGATAAGTCTAGGTTTAGAGTGTATGACCTCTTGTAAATGTAGGCATTCTTTCAAGGAACCTTTATTGTAACTGAATATTTCATGCATTCTTGTGAATGAATTTAATTGTAGCACAGAATTCTTAGGTTCTAGAGGGTTAATCCAATTAAGTTCCAGTTTGGTGGTTTTATATTTGAGGATTTAATTTTTAGAACCATATGTTGGTGTTGAGCAATAAAACCCTGACACTGGGTTGATTAAATGGCTCTTACAATATGAAGGTGGTGTTGATTTATGAGATGTTGGCGCCTGCTGCAGATAATGATAAAGGAAGGTATTTTTATGCTATGTTTTAAAATAGAGCTGATGAAAATGCTAATGAAATCAAAGACTGTCTGGGTGCTCTGGCATTGAAAAAGAAGTCCTTACCTTTGGGAATCTGAAGTATGCTTGGGATTATTTTTAAATACTCAATTGGATGTTTTTGTGACTATTTTAAGATTCTAGACACTGGATGTCCTAGCTAATTTTACTGATAACTTTCATCTGTAAATCATCATATTCCTAAAATCCTTTTTCCCCTTATTATTGTGACTTAGTTCCTTTTTTTTTTTTTTGGTACCGGGGAACTCACGACTTCGTGTTTGCCAAGCAGACACTTACGCTGCTGAGCTAAACCTCCAGCCCATTATAACTGTCACTTAATTGTTAGGGCATTGTGAGCTAACAAGAGTTGTAAGACACTGGGCATGTTGGTGTGTTTCCTCTGCTTCATTTTCCTGCTTTGTGGAAATGCGATGAGGCCAGATGTAATCTCAAAGCTTACTGGCTCAGAAATGACAGTACTTCTGCATGAATTTGCTATGTTTATCATTATAGATACTGGTACTTTTCTTATTGGTTATGACATTCAATTGATGTGGTAGTTACTTTGATACAGTAAAAATACGTTTCAAGGTTTGTATTTCAGTTCCTAAAATCCTACTCAGTTTTTATAAGGTCCCTCCCGATGGGAGTCTAGGGTAGGGCAAAGGATGGCTGTCAGAGACTCCCTCAGCCTTCTGTCCCAGGATATGACAGATCGGAACACCCAGGAGACAACAACTACCTCCCTCCCATATTTTCCTACCTGGGTTCTGTCTTGAAACACTCCCAGGGTCCAGGCAGTATTTTATTTAGTCAACAGAACAAGAAGAGCCCAGTGTTAACTTTATCCGGATATATTAGTGAGCCCCCCATTATGTACCTTTCACTAGGTGTGCCTTAAAACAAAAGTATCCAGGAGTCTAGCCACAAATTGCACAGAAGTGAGAAAATGGATAGTTAATTATGTTTCAATAAAAATAATAATAAGTTAAATTTGAGGTAGAATAAATGAAATGCATTACATCGTTTAGGAATTTTCTTTGGAGTCACCCAGACGTCTTTTTGTCCTGTTTTAACTTTTATGCATTAGGATGTGCGTACTCACTCACTTACTGTTTGCTTGCCTTAGAAGTGGCAATAATCCCTCGCACCGCAGTCACTTTATGCTCAGGAGACTTGGGGTGGTGGTCGGGGTGACTCCTGTATCCAGCCAGGTGGAAGGGCAGGTACATCATCCCCTGTGGTTTCATGATGGTGTGGTTTTTCTGCTGGGTTACGTATTGGTCCTGGATCACGCTGCCTTGTATGTATGGCTGGACACATCAGTTCCTGGTGAGTTAGAACTAACAATTTCAGCAGCAAACTCCAGCCACTGTTTTTGAAATGGCAGGGCCCTGGAATTACTGGAAACTCTTGAACATTAAACCACTAAATATATAAACTCTGCAGTGGCAAGAAACCTCACAGTCAGGAACCATTTATTGTTTTTTCTTCATCAGACACGGACTCAATACCTCCTTTTATGCCTCCCAGGAAAAAGGCAAGCTTCAGAAATTGTGGCCTTTTTGGGAGAAAGGAATATCTGGCTCTTACTGTTCAGGAATCCCATCATTTTACGTGGATATATTTACCCTTCCTCCATGTACGTGGGACCGGAGCACAGGCAATGAAGTGTCTTACCTTACTTGATCTAGAGAAGAGGGGATCATGCTCTTCCGAGGGTAGCCAAGTTGTTGGCTGAACGACATTTTCCAACTAGAGCAGTGAACTGCAAATAGAGAACATGAATATTCTTTATCCTCCTCCAGACGCTGGGTGATGTATTGGATACATCTGGTCAGGTGTAGTAAGGTGATTTCCATCCTTGGTCCATGATGGGCCTGTGACAAGGACAGGACAAAACCGAATTTAAATCCTGCAGGCTTTTCTCACCCCATATCTCCATGCTGTTGGATTATAAAAACGGTATAATGAGGAGTGATACTGGTAGGCAAATATCTGGTAGTTGGAGATACATAAGCAACTAGCTTAGCCAGAGCCTTCACTACAGAAGAGTCATAACTGATCCTTGTGTTTTACTGTTTTTAACAGTGATTCTGCATTTTACTGGTTGATACTAACATCACTAATAACCACTGTCACTGAGAGAAGCTCCATGCCACAGTATTTAGTAGCGTTAAGCTTTTTTTGTATTCAGTACTAATTTTCAAGGATGATATTTGATTTCATGTTACCAGCTCTTAAATGTTTACTGAACACATGTTGAAGACAACAGTGACACAAATGGGCATTGAGAATGTGCTGTGGAATATCAAAAACCATAGTTGGAGTCTTTTGTTTTGAGCCAATTTAACTGGAGTCCGGACAGCACGCTGGCTTTTCCTGAGGTCCTACACTGCCCTCTGGTGGTTGATAAAAGTACACACGCGGTTATTGATTCATGTGGTCAGTCTACCTTTCAGATCATAGGCATACAGTGTCTCTATCTCAGCAAATGGATTTCCGTCCCAAATATCTTGCTGCAATTTTTGTTTCTTGTTGAGTTCTGAAACTTAGAAAACTATTGTATACAATGCAGGAGTAATTTTAGAGTTTTCTAAAGGTAAGTTTAGACCAGTGTTCTTCAGATGATCTTAAATAATGAGCAAAACAACTGAGTGCTTGGAAAAAATGTGCTTGAAAAGTAAGAAAAATAGGTCGGTGGCAATGAAAAACCATGTATAGAAAATCCTTCATCAAGAAGGGACTTTGGAATGAATGATGCATTGCTATTCATCAGATTATCTGTTTGAAGACTATATAGAAAGCTTTTTTTAAAATTTCAGTCATTTCTTCTAGAAATGTTCAAGGCATTAGACTAATTCTCCCCCTGAATAAGCAGAATATAGAGAAGTATTTGGAATTTTGACTTGAAGTTTTACAAGGATTAAGGGCCAAGGAACATTAGACCTTGCTGCCATTACAGTGATATAAGGTATATGGCATTGCATAAGCACCTGCCTTGCAAGCAGGCAGTCGTGAGTTCAATCCCTGGCACCGATAAAAAAGAAAAAGACAAAAAAACAAACAAACAAAAAAAAACATTGAGTAGAGTATTTTGTCAGTTATTTTCTTTCTAAACCTTCAAGGTGTTTTCATGTAATGTTATCTCTTCTATATTACGATAAATTGCTATAAAATCTGATTAACTGAGCATGATATTTGATAAAGGTTTTCTGTTGGCCTTTTCATCTGTGGTTCCAGAGAACTGGGGGTTGAATGTATCATAATTTTCACCTTTCCCTGTGATTGGAAAGTCTTAACCAAAAACCAGCGGACATCCTGAAGGTCCGTGGTCTGGTTTCAGGGGGTCAGTGAACCTCTGGAAGTTGTGGCTGATACCTGTAGTTTTTGTAGGCGATATTCGAGCATTCCTGGCTGTTTCAGTTGGCAGATGTGAATGGAGTCATTGAAGAGGAGTTCACCATGGCCCGCCTGTACATCAGCAAGATGAAGTCAGAGGTCAAGTCCCTGGTGAACCGCAGCAAGCAGCTTGAGAGCGCCCAGATGGATTCCAACAGGAAGATGAATGCCAGTGAGCGGGAGCTGGCAGCCTGCCAGCTGCTCATCTCCCAGGTGGGCCACCGCTTTCCTCCTCATTTCACACTGGTCCTCTCAAGGTCCCCGCTGTGCCTGTCTGGCACTGGTGCTGGGTGATCGGATGGTTTGGTGCACTTTGCATCACATAAGCACGGCCTCCTTGGCCAAAAACAGCCCAAGTTTATTTTTAAGGCTAGACTTCACTGTGTGAATTACATGAATGCCCTTGGGTACTTTTCTTTTTAAAGGCTATATCTTTATATCTCCATCATTTGATGGGTGGATAGATAAATAGGCTTTATATGATGCATGGAGAAGGTCAGTAGAATCTCTAAAACGCCTGTCAACAGTCCTACATGTTTTAGTTTCTACTACAACTACAGACACAGAAACTTCTGCTGCTACTCTTAAATTTAACATTATTAATTATGCTAATCATGGTGTTGGAGTCATTCGTAACTATTAATAATATTAAAATAGTAGAGCAGGTAAAATTATATTGTTTACTGTGCGCCACACACCGTGCTAGGCAGTTTATATGCATTATCTCACTTCATCTTTAAAAAAGTCTCAGTAGGAAGGTTTTATTGCTTTTCCTCACTTTCTTATAAGGACACTGAGACTGATATTAAATATATTGTGTAAACATGTGCAGCCAGTGAACAATGGTAGAATCAGGGCCCAAACAGAAGTGTGTGTGAACTCAAAACACATGTCTTCAAGGTCTTTTCAAGTGCAAGGGTACCTTTTATGTGCTCAATGAATAAAACCGATCCTAGGAAGGTAGTTTCCGAAAACAGCAGCTCAGTTTTTTGAGGTGCCACGGACGTCTGAACTTGCCATTTGGATTTGAAGTTTCTGTGACTAGTGCAGTTGTATGGATTTCATTGCCTCATAACAAGCGTGAAAACAAGCAGTCATTGGGAAAAACGGATACCGACATGGGTCAGTGTGTCAAACTATAATGAAAGACACAAAAACAAAACAAAACACTTCCTATAGGTATACAATTAAGTATAATAATAAGTTATCAAAGAAACATCTCCATGTCTAAAGATTAGATTGTATAATCATCCTAGGGAGAAAAATGCACTGAAAAGTTTATTCAGTGCTGTGACAGTGAAACTGGTAAACTCATGCATTGTGGATAGAGGTATAATTTGGCCAGTCCATTCAGAAAGCACCTAGGAAATACAAAATCATAAAAATGGAAACATATTTTGGTCCAGTCATTTCACTTTTACTATTTTTTATTGGCAATGAGAATGAAAAAAATTATTTCATATGGTATTATCATTTCTTGATTAAAAATATTACAAGCACACATGAAAACTGATGACTACAACATTATTTTACGTCACACTAAAATAAATCACCCAGCTATCTATAGGTTAATAAAGCTACATGGAAGACTATTATGAAGTTCTTATAAAAAATCCATAAAACCTAGCCATGTGGAAAATATAATTGCATAAAGCTAAACAAAAATGAAAACGTGGAGCTTTATCTATGCTATGTTTTGCAACTTTAAAAGATATATTTTTCTACATCTGAGACCAGGGATATAAATGAAAAATAGTTGGTAAGTTTGAATGATTGATAGGTAAAATTTATACCACTTTTCTAGACTTGCTATGTATTTTACAATTTGTAACTATTGTCATTTATAAAAGAACATTTTTGTAACTGATAAAATTTGAGGAGAAAAGCAATAAACCTTAGAGAGCAGTGCACCTCACCTCTATTTCTAGATTGCCTGTGTCTTCGACAGCATGAACTTTTGCAGTTGTGCTGTTAACATTTGGGGACCAAGGCAAGGACAAGAGCAGAGTCACTGTGGCAGTGACTGCTCTTGCCGTCGCAGCTGGGCACACCGGCTCTGTGGCCGTTCCTGTGCTCTCTGTGAACTGATCGAATTGCCGGAACTGGGTCAGCTGTGCTCTGTGGAAATAAATGAGGACAAGTGGCCAGATCACAGAGTGACGCTGACTGTGGTACATGAGATCTGAGTCAAGAAGATTAGGAGGTTTGGGGTTAAGTTCGAAAGTTCTTTCTATATTAACAACAAGCACAGTTTTCCATTAGGTACAGTTCTGAACTGTGCTGTGATTTACACACAGCCGAGGATTCAGTAGTTACTTCCTGAGCTTCAAAAGTAATTGAAACCTCAAATCTATTTCCTGATGTGATCTGAAGGCTCTGTCAGAATATTTCCAGGGTAAATGCTATCTTCTTCATTTGTATGCATCCTTTTCCCAAAAGTCATCCTTATTAAATAACTGCTCTAACTGAAGTGCATTTTCTGAAGAAGTTATGTCATTAGAACACAGTCTGCAGGGTCTTCTTGCCTAAATGTGAGCTCCCTGGATCTGAAGGAGAAGCAGGCTGCATGTTTTATTTACCTCGGAGCTACCTCTGCCCCTGCTTAGCCTTTGAGCTTCATTCTTTCATTCACTCATCATTTCCATGAGTGTTTATTAAGTATATACTCTACACCTTCATGTGACTAATGAGTAAAAAGGAATAAAGAAAGTAAATCATGTCCACGTGCTATAAGGAAATGTCGAGGTGTAAGTGGTAAGAAACTAGCCAGGGGTGTGTGTGTGTGTGTGTGTGTGTGTGTGTGTAGGGGAGTGTTGCTGCAAAGGATGCTTCTGAGAGGAAGATGTAGAATGCAAAGCTCCTGGCATAGGAGTTGGCATGTTTGAAAGATGAAAGATTAAAAAATACAATACTTGAAGGTAGAATTTAGTGGTGCATGTTCAGAAAATGAGGCCTTCAACCTGGATATTTTCTTAGCTCTTTTTCTTCCCTGCCCCACACTGCACCCCAGTGCTGGGGATCAAACCTAGGGCCTAGCATATGCCAGGCAAGTGCTGTCCCACTGAGCTACACTCCCAGCCAAGCAGCGCACTTAATCATGAGGAGGGAAAACAGTGTGGGTTTTGGTTTGCACAGATCTAGGGCAACCGGAATATGCACCACTTGGTGTCGGTGCCCAGGACAGGGACACAAGAACAGCGCCTCTGTTGTAATTTCCCCGCAGACAGTCCCAGGCAGGCCTGGAGGACCACTTGCCAGTCGTTCACTCTTCCCTTTGACTTGTTTTCTTGTTTGAAGCACGAAGCCAAGATCAAATCTTTGACAGACTACATGCAGAACATGGAACAGAAGCGGAGACAGCTGGAAGAGTCCCAGGACTCCCTTAGCGAGGAGCTGGCCAAGCTCCGGGCCCAAGGTAAATATTTGACTGCTTCTCGGGTGTCACATCCTTGACCTAAATCAGATGAACTCTAATTGGCTGGAGTTTAGTTTTGCTCAATTAAGTCATTTCTAGATCTACTGGAATCAGTAGCATACAAAGAAGAAAAGGAGAACTTGCAGGGGGCTGTCCCAACCCAGAATCTGTTCATGTTTGCATTGTCCCTTGGTCTGCCCACCTGTCAGAATCCTCCCTCCTGTCGTCCTCTAGTCAGTCACCAAGGCCTGTTTCTCCAACCTGCCAGGTTTTCCTCAGTTCTGCTCTTTTATGGTCTCATCGCCACCATCTAGGAGAATTGAGAATTATGGTTTCCACTGTCTCCTGGGGAGAGCTGCCCCTGTCTGCTCTGAGCCTGTCCCAGTGGAATGTATTAAAATTCAAATTCCATTTTGTGCCCGACCCCTGATTCTCATCCTTCCCTCCTATTCTGTTGCTGTTAGTATAACCTGGCACACTCTGCCCTTGAATAAGCTCTTCCCTTTGACCATAGTTACCTGATGAATAGGAAGCACTTTATATATATGAAAAAATAGGCATAGAGATTCAAGAGTGGTAAATAGAAATGCAGAGCTACAACAGGATTAAGAATGTATACATTTTATAATGTGAGACCCAACACATATATTCTAGTTTGAAAATGTAGTAGTTTTAGAAGGCAATTTAAATAATCAACATTTCTTCATACAGTTTGATCCTCAAATTTCAAATATTCGTTGCAAAAGTTTAGAACAGGCAAGCAACAACAACAAAACCAAAGAAAAAAGAAAGGAAAGGAAAAAAGCCACCTAAATGTTTAATGGTAAATAAATTTTAATAAGACATCTTTTTTCACATTGGAGCTGAAATATATGAGGATGTGCAGCAATATTGATGATGCAGTTAGGTTAAAACTGTAGCACAAAGGTTTATTTTTATTTTGTTTATAACCACTAAAACCAAATGGATTCTTGTGTTCCTAGAAATTTTTAAAGTAGTTTTGATGGAATAGTAGGACTGGTGATTATATTATTTTATGTCCTTTATTCGTGTTGCATAGTTATTTGCTTAGTAAAAACATTTTGTTTTGGGGGGAAAAAGTGAACCTATTCTCTCTGCTATAACTTTGTAACATTTTCTTTTTATGCTAAAGAATGGATGTTAGGAATAGACCCCACCACCAAAAAGTACACATGGAAAAGAATTTTTCCCTCATATCCATGGTTCTTGCAGGGATGCCACTGAATAGAAGTAACACAGAGAACCCAGAGAACCCAAGCAGAGTGGAGCAGACTAGAGAGCAATCATGAATTAAATGCCACTGTCCTGGGCAGTTCTGTCCCCTGTCTCCCACTCCCCCGCTGTACTGGGCACTCCCAGAGCTCGCTGGCCAGGCTCATGCAAGTCCTGATCCACAGGGGCTTCCTGTGAAATCATGGAGCATTGTGCTTTATTTCTCTTTCCCTTGTTCTCAACTTTAAATTGTTTTCCTGCTCCAGATTCTTAGAAAATAAACAGCCTACCCATGGGAGGTAAATTAGCTCTTTTTGGAATTTTACCAGTGGCATGAATCCAGATGTTACCTAACATTCACAGGGTGCTTTATAATCTGCAATGTTTATGTACATGACCTCGGGGTTGCTTGTAGAGGCCAGGTGGGAAACAAGGATTGCAGACTGTGAGGCGATTAGAGCCAGGGTGCAATTCTAGGGGCTGCTTCCACTTAAGTGTCTTCTGCCCTACCATGGCTGCTGTCCCCAAGGGGCCCCATCTAGACGCTAAAGAAGTGCGGCCCAGGAGGTCAGCCTCAGCATTAGCCACACATTGTCTGTCAGAAGGCCCCTTCCTTTCTGCCCGAACTGTGCTTGGTGATGAAAGCTGATGTTTCATTCTGTTGCCATTTCTCTTGTCTTTTGCCTTTTTAAATTTTTGTTTTTGGGTGAGTCCTGCCTGTAATCTTAAATCATCATTTAAAATTCACAACAGAAAAAATGCACGAAGTCAGTTTCCAAGATAAGGAAAAGGAGCATCTGACACGGCTACAGGATGCTGAGGAGATGAAGGTGTGTACAGCTGGCCTTTCCGCCAGCGCAGTGTGAATTTTGTGCATTTGGACTGGGTTTTCTTGTTCTAGAAAATTCTGTCACTTTCAGGCCCGTTAGGCCCAGAGCTGAGCATTCAGAGCTGTTCCCAGTGTGGCCTGGCCTAGCATAAGACGGCCGCAGACTCTCCAGAAACAGTGTATGCTGTTTACAGGGCTATGCTGCATTAATACCTTGTCTCCCCTGTTCCTGAGTGAGGGGAAGGACAGCACTCCCGGTCACTCTGTGGGCCACCTCATTGGGGTTAACTTCTAAACACGCCTATTCCCGCCCCTTCTCGAGTGAAAGGAAACCTCTCCTTTTTGCTTTTGTATAGAAGCATTCCAAATTTGAGCATCAATCTCATACAAACTGATCTTTACGGGTCACATGTTAATCAGGAAAGGAAAATATCAGAAAAATGACTGAGAAATCAGGCTTCTGAAGTGTAAGAGGTGATAGAATTTTGACTAGTTCTGACCAAACTATGAGGCTCGTGGAACAGAAGGCTACAGTTAGAAGTGTGGCCCACGCCAGCCTGCAGAATACCATCTGGCCTTGCCTGGACGAGCCCCTCTCATTTCCAGTGTTCTTCAGTGAGTAGGTATCCTGAGAACATTGTCACAGGATTGCGGTGGTAGTGGTGGTGGTGGGGTGTGAACCTCCGCTACCCAGGTGAGAAAGAGCACGTCACTCACATAGGTAACATGCTTTGTCTGGGGTCACTCAGGTAGTTAGAGGCTGCGCCCTGACCGACCTGACTAGATAGGCTACAGAGGGTCAAGGGAAATTTTCTGTTCAACCAGTGGACTGATTTACTTCTAGGGCCCACTCAGTTTTATTACAGATCTTTGGGGCTGTGCTGTCCCAATAAAGCAAGGCCAGGTGCTGAGGGCCCGAAACTTCCTTAGTTTTGGGCCCTGACATTGAGGGAGGTAGATTCGGATCCAGGGCTTGCCGTGGTGTGGGCTGAGCACCAATGAGTGGATGACACATTTCTCCTGGCCTGGCTTGCAGAAGGCGCTGGAGCAGCAGATGGAGAGCCACCGGGAAGCTCACCAGAAGCAGCTGTCCAGGCTTCGAGATGAAATTGAGGAGAAGCAGAAAATCATTGATGAGATTCGGGAGTGAGTTGGCTGTGGGCTTGCAGGGAAGGAAGTGGCTGTGACTGAGTCCTCTTGGGCCAGCCCAGGGGGATTTGGCCTTTGGCAAAGGGCCTGTCCCCTTGTTCTGGGGCCTCTGTGCTCAAAGGTGCTGCAGTGCCACCTTAGGCCAGGCACACTGCCCGGAGCTCTGTTCTCCCATCTGGAGTCCAGCCTTCTGGGGCTCTGGGGAGGCAGGTGGCAAGCAAGCCCAGCTGCCCTCTTTGTCACATTCCAATCTGGTGCAGGATCACATTGTTGGAAGCTCTGCTGGGCAGACACGTGCCCCAGGTGATGAAGAGGCTATATTAAAGCATGAAAAAAGCAGTTGGTTCTGACCTAGGGGCTCTGATAGGTGAAAAAAATTCCAGAGAAGACAGACAGCATTTGCTACCACCTCAGCCCAACATGCATCTGCTCACTGCACCACACAGCCAGCTGGTCACTTATTGAGGTGCTATGGTCCATGGCAGCAGGAAGGATCACTACAAGTCAGCTCTGGGGACTCTGTCCTCATGGCTGTATCCTGGCCTTGATGAGCCTACAGGGGAGCCCCAGGTCCATAACATATCCTCCCTACTCAGCCCTTACCTTATCTTTCATGGGCCGCACAATCACCCAGCTCTGAGTACCTTTGGATCCTCTTCTGGGGCTTCTTAATGTTTTTGCATAGTGGATTCTCTTCTCAGTCTCTGAACCTTTTTGTGAAATAATGTTTTTGAATGCTCCAAATGAAAGGCACCAGATTACAAAGAAAACAATGATAATGAAGTATCCCATCGAGTGACACCCCCTCCCATCAGACCAAGGCTTCCCTCCCTTCTCCTATAGATGAAGAAACAGATTTCCATATGAGAAGCAAGGTTAAATTATTTTACTTAAGGTCACGTTACTAAATAGGAATCAGCCTGGAGTTAAGAGTTTAATTCTCCAGACTACTGATCCAAATCTCTCCTCGATGTATGTGAGCTGTTTGCACAGTTTATTTGTACTTTGGAAGAGAAGAATGGTAGCTGAAGCAAAACTTACCTGGTGGATGGGCTCTGTGCACAGTCCACCCGAGGAAAGTGCTTAGCACTCCCTGTCCCCTTCTTCTAGGCCTCCCCCATGCCACCTCTCAGGATGTGCTTGTCTTTTGTTCATTGCTCTGATGAATCACCCTTGACATATTCAGCTGGGAGAGAGAGGGAAGAGGGAGGGAAGGAAGGGGAGAAAGAGCAAGTTGGTGGAAGGAGAAGCTTCCTAGGTGTTTGCCTTTGAAATGGACCTTGGTCTTCTTTTCATGCAGTGCATAATCTGTTTCTTTACATTTGTTGGGCATGGCCACACTAATGGTCTTATGCATACTGGGCTGATGTAAATGCTGACCAAAAGCCCCAACCAGATGGCGAGTTTCAGTTTCCCTTAGAACCCAACTTTGCTCTTCATAATTCCGCTCTCTGAACCCCTCCTCTCATGTTACAGAGTGGAAACTGTCCCACTCTGGGCCAGGTCCCCAGACTTGGGAAATATCTTCAGAACATCTCACCAGAGGGGGGCAGGTTGCAATGGCCAAACAAGGGTACCTAAGGGAGTTTTTGCCATCTTCGTGGCCCAGGAAGCAGAAAGATTCTAAGGATACTTTCTCTGTTCTAAAATATCCGCCCTTTTCATTATGCTTCCCCTGAGGCTCTTGCACACAAGCAAACTATAAATACATCCTCAAAGTCTTTGTTCCATGTCTCCCCATGCTCCCCAGAAATTAGTTTTCACTTGGGCAAGAAGAAGCTGTGAGGTTGTTCTCTGATCCCTCAAAATCCTCACGAATTTCTGCCTTTATTGCACAGAACTAATGGGGTTGGAACAGAACCACAGTTTTAGCTGGATGACTCAGGATTTCAGACTGATTTGGAATATATTGCTTTTCCTCTCAATTTCAGTTTGAATCAGAAACTGCAACTGGAACAGGAGAAGCTCAGTTCTGATTATAACAAGCTGAAAATAGAGGACCAAGAGAGAGAAATGAAACTGGAAAAGCTCTTGTGAGTGCACTTTAAATATCTCCTGCTCTCTCTCATCCCTGGGAGGTCGTAAACACTCTACTTTCCTGATTCTGAGACCCAGATATTCCGGTTAGAGTGAGCTGATTTAAAAACAGACCATGGCTATTTGTGTGTCTGTTGGCTTGTTTGGTTGATTTATCTGCAGATGCAGATAGTAGCTGCCTATTTCTGATTCCCCGTTGGTGGTTGATGCTTCCATTTTGTTTTTTCAGATTGCTCAATGATAAAAGGGAACAAGCCAGAGAGGACCTTAAGGGACTGGAGGAGACAGTGGTGAGTCAAGATGTTCCCTACTCAACTTAGTCACAAAGACCTGGCTAGTTTGTGATCTGCTGAATTGTTCATGCTATGATTTTATCTATGCACATCTTTCTTGGGGATCATTTTAGACCTAAAACATCCAGTGGAGCAGTGGGATGAATAGAATTTATTCTCCAGCTCTTGACACAGTCAGTGTTGAAAGCTGTAACCCTAGAGCCTGCGAGTAAGAATTAAACTACATCATAAACCCTTGCCTGCAGTTTTACAGCCTCTGCCCTTTGTGATACTGCCCCTCAACTTTCAGCAGGGATTCACGGAGCACCTACTAAGGGCTGGTCTTGCAGGTGCTTGCATATATCAACAAACAGTGCAGATAAGATCCTGCCCTGGGGGAGCTTGCCTTGAGCTGGGAGAGACACAGTAAACTGCAGTGCACAGCAGTTCCCCAAACCCCCACCTTACCCACTATTTCCCATTATGACATTTCAGTTGCCTGAAATCAACTGTAGCCTCAAAACACTGTAATAATATAATGAAGAATTCAGGTATTTTGAGAGAGAGAGAGAGAGAGAGAGAAAGAGAGGCCATGTTTATGTAGCTTTTCTTATGTTCTATTATTATATATATTTTTTTGACACAAGGTCTTGTTTTATAGTTCAGGCTGGCCTTGAATGCTTGAACTCACTGTGTAGCCTAGGCTGGGGTGATCCCCCTGTCTCAGCCTTCTGAGTGCTGAGATATCAGACATATACCACCATGCATGGCTACAACTGTTCTATTTTATAATTTATTAATAATCCTTTTATTATGGTTTTAATTTATAAATTAAAACTTATCATAGTTCTGTAGATGTAGGAAAAAAAGTAGTTCATATAGGACTTTACACTATCCATGACTTTAGGCATCTCTTGGGGATCTTGGGATGTGCCCCATGTAGATAAGGGCAGGGGCTACTGTGCTTTGTTAGATGGCTGTGTAGGTTAGTGAAAAGGTGACATTTGAGTAGTGAATTGTAGAGGGAAGAAATGAGCCATGGCTGTGTCTTGGGAAGGAGGTCGCAGGCAGAGGCAATATCTTGTGTCAAGGCCCTTAGGTAGGCCCATGCCTTGATACATTGCAGGCCAGCCAAGGTGTCATCGTGGTTGCAACTGAAAGAGGGTTGAAAGGCAGACAAAGAGGAAAACGCTATAGTGGGTACAATTGGTGAGTGTTTCGAGACCTGCAAGACTTTGGGTAGAGAGGAGTGGCAGAGCCCATCTACCTTTGGGAGGGCTCATTATTGGAAATTCTGTTGCTTTTCTCTGTCCTGCATTGCTGCCTTTCTCCTCTGGCCAGCTTTATTTTAGATGCTCTGTGGGCTGCTGCCTGGCTCCGAGGGTTCCTGAGTCCTTCTCAATGAGCACTGAGCACACCGCTCAGCCTGGGTTTAAAGGCAGCCATTATCCCATTGGCTCAATTTGGTGAAGACGTGTTGAGACTTGCAGATGAGAAGCTTTAGACATAGCCCTCCGTTCTGATCCCATTCATGGCTGTGTGAATCTGAGTGAGTCTGAACCATCTCTCACTATCTGGGACCCCAGCAGGAGGCAGATGGTTGCTCACGTCTGGCTGCTGTACTCTGGCTTCCAGGTTCCTTTCCCTTGCTCCTGAGAGCCAGGGAGAGAAACAGGCATACAGCATCAGGACAGAAGGAAGATGCTGGTGCTGAGAGGAAGTTTGGGCCTTTGAGTGTGAAGTCTTTAGAGAAGGCGGTTGTAGGGGGCCTGAAATGAGTCCACAAAATTCTTCATCTACATCTGTTTGACTAGAAAAGTGATACTCATAATTATAGATAATTATAGAAATTCAGGAAAATATTGAGCATTGAAATTTTACTATATTCTCATCAGCCCAAGACGAATGGTATTTCAGGGGATTTCTTTCTTTACCCTATGAGTCCCAGTACACTCCCACCCACACCCCAGTCCAATAGCCATGCCTTGCACAGGTGTTCACCTTCGTGTCCCCACCCTCGTCATCCTCACACCCACAGCCCAGTCATGCACTTATGCATGCAGGTCATCACATGCACACAAATGAGTCCACATGGCCCATTCTCACCCCTCACCCATGCTTGGTCATAACTCAGTCCTGCACTGTCGTCCACATACGTGGCACATGCCCATGCAGACTCACATGCATGTACATTTGCAGGCTCACACATTCTCACTTGTGCACATTCTTGCTCATGTGCACAGATCATGCATGAACTTGTTTATTTTCATGTTTGCACTCCTCACTTACACCTTTACTCATACCCATTTGCACACTCACATGCATAATTGGCACAAAGGCCTCCTCCACACATATCATGGTCACACATGCACTCACATCAGTTGCTCCCATAGACTGTCACCTTCACCCTCACACACACCCAGTTACACCCAGACTTATTCTTATACTCACAGACTCATGCTTTCTCCCTGATATTTGAAGAAAATCTAGCCAGTTCCTTGCTTTTTGGTGGTATTCAGTGATGCATCTTCTGCACCAGCCTCCCCATCTCTATCCACTTGTTTCTTCCCCTTACCTTCCACACTCATCCAGACGTGTCTGTATAAGCTTGCTCTCAGAGATAGGCATCCATCCCACCCATGAGGACAGACCCACTGACACAGCAGCCGTTTGTCCTCTCCGCCCCCATGGACCACACTCACACACACACTTTTGAAGCCAAAGCACTGTCCTTAGACTCCGATGCTTCCCTCAGCCGGGAACTCCTCCTCAGCTGTGCATATTCTGGGGGAACAGGCTTACTCTCCATGACAGTCCCTTCCCACACTTCCTGGCTGCCTCTTGTGTTGCAGAGAGTGATTATTGATGTATCAGACACCCACAGTGCAGTACCATGCTGGGCAGAGCCCACGGACATTGAGGTGTCCCTGAGCCCCACACAGCACCTTGCTTTAACAGGACACTGGGCCCTAGGGCTGAACCCAGAATCTTTCTGTGCTGCCCACCTCTGTGATCCCACCCTGCTTGTCCACTGTGACAGGAAGCTGAGACCTGAGCTTTCACGTGGAGAGCAGTGGCCTGTGAGAGGGAGAGAGCTGAGAGGAGTCAGGCAGTAGAGAAATGATAATGAATGTGATGGAGGAAAAGTGCTTGCTGGAGGGAGCTACATGGTAGTTGTCTAAGCATAAATGTGCATAAATATAAGCTATTTAAACATCCTTTAACTGCCCCTCCCAAGCTGTTTATTGCTGAGTCTATCTCAAACAAGAAAAAAATGTCCAAACTTAGGCTTGTGTGTGATTTAGTTCTTGTATCACAAGTAAGTGTCTGGGAGTATAAAGTACCCTTCCTTCATTTCTCTTTAGTGTGATAGTGCTTTTTATGGAAAAATACTAGCTGTGGTTACAGTTCAATCAGTAATAAAATCACCACGGCAAAGGGGGAGCATGCAGGGTGGTTGCAGGCATAAGGGTACTGGACGCTGAGCTCCCTTTGACAGGGATGGACGTCTCGTTTGTGTGACTGTGGGCGCTGGGCACCTCCTGTGCCTGTGCTAGGAGGCGGCTCAGCCTTGGCCAGATACGGTGTGCACATTATTCATAATAACAGATCTATTGGCTTCCTGCAGAAAGTAATTTACCTCACTCGGGGATGCAATTGACTTCAGGTGCTTCTTCTTGCAGCATGGAATTGAACCCAGTGATAAGACCTTAAATTAACAGAGAAACCTTATTCCAAGAAACTTAGTGTTTTCATAACTCTGTGGGCTGTTTCTTCCTCTTCATTGTGAGCCTGTGTGAGCTGCATCCCTTGACATTCTATGGTAGAGCAGGTGAATTCAGACAAGTTAAAACATTTACCCTGAAGAGTGTATCTCCTCCTTTATAATTGGGCAATATTTTGCAAAGAACTAACATCTCTGTTGCCCCTCTCCTTTTTTGAAATACTGGGAATCAAACCCAGCACCTTTTGTATGCTGAGCAAGCAGTCCAACACTGAGCTACAGTGCCCACTCTTAACATATTCCCTGTAGGGGCTGAGGATTTAGCTCAGTGGCATAAGCGCCTGCCTTGTAAGCAGGCAGTCGTGAGTTTGATCCCTGGTACCAATAAAAAGGAAAAAGACAAAAAAAAAAAAAAAAAAAAAAAAAAAGAAACAAAACAAAACATATTCCCTGTAGTGAAAACATCAAAGCCTGAATGGGAGAAAATAAGATCACCAGGTTTGGTTCAGGCTCTTGTTTCAGCAATGATTCCTAAAGTGTCATTTGTAGAAACTAATCCAACATTAAGAGGTTTAAAAACAAATTAAGATGTGCTATGTCCATGTACCAACTCCCTACAATGAATGTAATCATTATGGTACTGCGAGCATGTACTAACAAAAAAATTTTTAAAAACAAAATAAAACTATGCCCCTAAGAAGTTGCTTACAGTGAAAGTTACACAAAAGAAAACAGAAAAATCTAATGAAGAAGTAGCTATTATCATCTGAGATACAATCATCAATAAAATCTTACTAACATTTAGTGAACACATAGTACATGCCAGAAACTGCTCTAAGAGTTGTGTGAGGATTATCTCCTGTAATCTTGACACCACTGATGAGACAACCACTGTTTTCATCCTTATTTTATAAATAAGGAAACGCAGGCACAGGAGGTTCAGGTAACTCACCCATCACCCTGGCGGAAGGTCTAACGCCTCTTCCAGGAGAGCTCCTGTAACAGTCAGTGCGGAGGTGCAGAAGCTTGGAAAGTGTTAGCTGGTTAGCCCGAGGGAAGTTGTGGATCAACTTTTAATTTAAATTTGTTGGCATTATATATAATGTTTTCATGATCATTTTTTTCTTTTAAAGAGGGAAAAGCAAAACAAATACAGGAAAACAAGAAACAAAAGAGACAAACAAATAACAAACCCCCCCAAAACAATAACAATATAGGCTTTCAAAACAAGGTAGTAGGAACTTAACAGAGGTTATGTTGGCATAGTGATCTTCAAAAGAGTTGTTTCTCAGATTACCAGATATAGACATGGAACATTGATCTAATCCTATGAATGTTAACTGTTTTGTTCCAAGGACTAATAGAATTAGCAGTACAATCATCTTAGCTATCTTGTGTGTGTATACAAATTTATATCTTTTTTCTTTTCCTTTCCTTCTTTTCTCCTTTTCCCTAACCCAGGTATTTTTCCTGTTTGAGCAGTTCCTTACCCTTCCGCAGTATTTATTGAAGATTTTGTATCTTATTTACTCTTTTAGTTTCTTACACTAGGGAGACAATATAGTATTTATACGTGTGAGTTTGATTTATTTCACTTATGAGTATAGTATCATTGCATCCTCATGATAAAAATTTTAAAAGGACTTTGTGGTGATACAGAATAGCCTATTAGGAATTTAGGGAAGAAAACCTGAATTTTTGTGCTTGAAGAAAACAGTAAACCAAAAAAGATCCCATGGAGAGTAGCACAGTTTCGTTCCAAGCCTGCAGCTCCTTGTCTGGGTGTCCAGCCCCATACTGTGAGATGCTTCTGGAGATGCCCTGGGCTGAGGCTGGGACGCGGTGTGGTGGGACAGTCACAAGGTGCCCAGGGCTTCCGCAGCATCAGTGGCAGCTGAGATAAGGCAAATTGGAGAAGTCTAGGGTTCCCCTTGACTTGGGACAAACATGTATGTCCCTACTGAAGTGACATTTTTCACAATCTTCTCTTCCAGTCTAGAGAACTACAAACTCTTCATAACCTCCGTAAACTCTTCGTCCAGGATCTGACCACACGAGTGAAAAAAGTGAGTTCTATTTTATCTGAGTGGGACCGAGAAGAAAAAAAAGGTGGTGGGAAGGATCATTTTCAGTTGAAATATTACTTGCCTGAATTGGGGCTGGCTGTGCTTAAAAATTAATTACTTCATGACAGAGAATGTTATTAAAAGAATGTGCTAGAGGCAAAAATTACTTAGGAACATTTTTTCATCTGATTTTTCCTTCTTAATGAAAGGAAGTTATAGTGCTTTTCCTGGCCTTCATTTCAAATGAACTTTCATTTTTCTGGTCCCTGTTATGTGAACGTCAGTGTGCCCGGTTTAGGAACATCTAGATCAGTTTGGTCACCAGACAGTGTGGCCTCAAAGCCTAGTGACAGCAGACAGTGAGAGCCTCCCTCTGTCTATAAGGAGACTATGTGAGATGGAGGTCAGTTTGAGAAGTGCTGTAGCATCTTGTTTGCTTTCCCCAGCAACCATATCATCAGGGCTTAGCATACCTGTTTTGCAGATGTGGGTCAAGGCTCAGATGTTAAGTGACTTATCCCACATTGTACCACAAGGAAGAGCCAGAGAGAGATTTGGAGTCCAGGTCTATGTGCTTTCAGCTCCCCACAGTGATCTTGGGAGGCCTCCACGCTGGGGCTTCCCAGGGCTGCTTGTAGACAGAAGAGAGGACCAAAAGGTGAAAACAGCCTGAGTCTATTCTTTCAAACTGTTTCAAATTGATAGATGGGAACAGTGGGTCATAGCAGAGGGATGGCAGGAACAAAGGTATTAAGGCGTGTGCATGTGTCTGTGAATGTGTGCATGTGTGCTTATGTGTACACATCTATGAAGTGCGAAGAGGAAGGTTAGAGATTAAGAAGAGGAAATCAAGAAGTTAGGTTTGAGAGGGGTACAATTAACCATGTAGATGGTTTTATTGGCTTGAATAAGGAGAAGGGGACCTATTTTCTTTTCTTTCTTTTTTTTTTTTTTAAATTTTTATTTAAGGAGAAAAGAAAAGAAAGAAAAAAAACAGTGAAGGGGTACAAGTTATACAGATTTACAGAAGAAAAAAATGCGCAGTAGGAAATCACTAGTTAATGGATTACATATTGCCATCTTAGAAATAATTGTTCCAGTCACAAAATTAAAGCTTGTAGAGTGGACATTCCAACAATGATACTGCAAACAGTTCTGTTCAATGATCCAATAAAACTCTGTGATATCATTTTCTATCTTATACATTTAAATATACATGCAGTTATATAGTTTAGAGCACTTTCTTTTCCTCTCTTTTGTACAGTGACTATTACACATTTTGGGTTTCATTGCTCCCACGTTTCGTATTGCTTTTTTGGAAGAGAGTAAAACCAAATGTGACATAACAGAACAGAATCGGTCAAGTCAAAAGGGTGGACATAATAGATAATATAAAAACATAATACAAGGTGATCAACAATGGTTACCATAATGCCTCCCGCTATTTCTAATAGAATTGCCTATATCATTAGTTGTAATACAATTGAACAAAACCGTAAAGAATAAAACCGACAAAACCAAAACATTGGAGATATTGTAGGTCTTCAAAAGTAGATAAAAGTCAACGAGAATGGGCGTTATAATGAATCTCATTATCTTCTCAGCTGATGCCTAAACTTTCGAACCTGATACTATCCAGCAAAACAGAATAGAGGAACCTCAGTCAAAAACAAGATGGTGAGAGTAATACAGGGCTTCAAATCGAGATAATAGAGAGTCAAAGTGGGTTACTATATTATATCCTGCTATATTTTTCCCTTTAATTAAATGGATAAAAATAAAAAAGTAAATAATGGAGTGGAGATTGAGAAAAAAAGAGGGCATAACAGCGAAACAGGGCAGATCAAAACATAACCATTTAAGCAGAATAGTGTTTCACCACCAGATAATCCTGACCCAAAAATAGTTGCCATATTGACTCCCTCCCTGAAGTCCTTGAGTACAACTTCATATACTGTAGCATTAAGTATATCAAAACAATGTAAAACCATTTAAGAGAATGACAGCATTATAAAGTATTTAGAATCGACTAACAGAAAATGAACAATGGTCTCTGTATAATCTCCTTGTCTTTAAAAGGTTTTTGCTTATACTATCGTACATAACAAAATCCAATAAGATACAACCTGTTTAGACCATTGGAGACAGAAGAACAAAAGCTAGATGAGACTTCAAAACAAGATGGTACTAAATCAGCATTACCTATTAAGATGTCATTTTCTCCAAAAAAAGCTGTTCCTATCATCCAATCTTCTCTGTCTCATTTCTGTTGAGCTCTTTTTCTGTCAGTAGCTGTCAGTTTGTCTTCTTCATTTTGTTCTCTGCTCCATTCGTTGTGGCCTCCCCGCCACTATTTCTGGGTTCTTTGTATTTTTCTTTTTTTAGAATATCCTGCAATACTTTCTGTAGGGTTGAATTGGTGGTTGCAAATTCCCCCAGTTCCTCTTTATCCTGGAAGCACCTCGTTTTCCCATCAATTTCCAGGGACAGTTGTGCAGGATATCTCAATCTTGGCTGGAGATTATTATCTTTCAAAGCTTGAATTATTTCTCCCCATGCTCTTCATGATTTGATGGTTTGTGAAGAGAAATCTGCTGTAATTCTGATGGGTGTTCCCTTGTAAGTGATCTGTTTCTTGTCTCTTACAGCTTTTAATATTCTGTTCTTGTATTGAATTTCTGGAATTTTTATTATTATATGCCTGGGTGTTTCTCTGTTAGGGTTGTAGGTAGCTGGGGTCCTGTATGCCTCATACATCTGAGTATCTTTACCTTTTGCTAAATTAGGAAAATTCTCCTGGATTATTTCTGTGAGTAGCTTTTGTAGTTCACTTGTTTGTGTCCCTACTTCTTCTTTTATGTTCTTAATCCTTAAGTTATGGCTCCTCTTATCATCTTCTTGTCTTTGTATTATTGCTGTTTGTTTCTTTGTTATTTTTAAGAAGTTTTTCATTTCATTCTCCCATGTTTCAAGTCTGCCCTCCAGTTCAGATAGTCTGTCCTTAGTTTCTTTCAAGCTGTTATGCCAGTCTTGGATAGACTTCTTAATTTCTTGATAGTCCCTTTGAACCTGCTTCACATACTCAATGCTTTCTCTGTTTTCTCCATCAAGCAATTCTCCCCTCTTTTTCTGTTCTTCCATTCCACCATCTGCTTTTTCCTGGGTGGTGCTTAGCATTTCTCTAACTATTCTGCATACTTCTAGCTTCAGGTCATTGATAACTTCATTCCTGAATTGGTCTATGAGGCTCTCTATATGGCGCTTAATGTATATTGGTGCGGTGTCCACTATTGCCTGATTCTCAGGATTGGGGGCCGAGGAGCCTTTTTTGTTGCTTCCCTTCCCCATATTTTCTGTTCCTTATAAAATGCAAGCTTACATGGGAGGCCCGGCTTCCCTGCCTGTCAGCCACAGCCTGATCAAATTGCGCTGGCTAGTTGTTCCCGCCCACCACTGCGCACCAGGGAGTTGCAGAGGAGGCAGCCTACGCGGGAGTCAGTCGCTCCTCCGGGCCACCGTTAGGCTCTGGGATCTGGGTTAGGCCAGCCTAGGGAGTCCGCCAGCAGTGTCACTCAGGCCAGGCACTTTTCACCAATCCCGTCCGAGAGGGGAATGTGTGGCTGGAGTTGCCACCGCGCTCTGCTCTTACAGGACTGCCTGAGCCCAGAAAAACCTCCTTTGGAGTCAAACTGTGGTAGGGGGTCAGTTTCTCGCTCACCTCGCCACCAGTCAGTTTTCGTGTACGCCTCCTTGTCCGTCCTGTTTCCGACTCCGTTCGCAGACTCCCGTTCCCAGAGCTCGGCGCGTCTCTCCTTGCCGAGCCGCTGTGGAGGCAGCCAGCCGCCGGGCGGCGGGAAACCCAAACCGCGGCTTCCAATGGCGCGGGGTCGAGCCTCCACACCGAGACTTTTCTGTTCCTATTTTAGTGCCAGGACTGTATCCTAAGTTGGATTCTCTCAGCCCAGTTCGTTCCTGAGTCAGCAGAGCATATCTCTACTGGTTCGTATCTCCTTAGTCGGCATCATTCCTGGCCTCTGAGCCGAGCCTTTCAGAGAGCCTTCAGTAGTTGCTGTTGTCTGTCCGCCATGTTCTCCCCCGGGGACCTATTTTCTTAAGGGGAGGTGTACAGTCAGGCTGGAACTGTTCGCAGGGAACCCCAAGACCACGGAAAGAAGTCACATCTAATGACTGGGATCCTCAGTTAATGTGGAGGGTTGGTCCTTGACGGATAAGGAGGACAGAGGATAGGGAGCTCAAGAAGACTGGAGAAGGTTCTGGAAGCCATGAAGAGCACTTACTAGGTAGAATAACTGGTGTGAGTCTCCAGATGAGGGACAGAGAGTGGATTTGGCGTGGTGCCTGGCAGCATGGTTTAGAATCCTAGAAACACAAGTAAAGACAGAAGGCAGAGAATGGTGGGAAATTTTGAGGCCTGAATGGCAACAGTCAGGCAGGTATATAGAAACCACGATCAGCAAAATATAGGTGACCATGAAATCTGGACCGGGTAGGAGAGTGAGGCCAGTACACTGATGGGTGTTCTGGAGAGCAGGAGGACATCTGATGAGTTTATGACAAGGACTGAAAAGATTGCATCACAGGGAGGAGATAGAAGCCATGACCATAAGGAGCCTCTGGTCAGAAGGAGGAGAGCCTGAGGGCAGACTCTCCAGGTTTTTTTTTATATAAACTCTCTGGGAACAAGCTACTTTTAGGCCAATGGTTTTCAGCATGTGGTTCTCTGGCCAGAGGCATTGGTATCACTTGAGAATTTGCTTGTGCAAATTCTCCGACCTCTCCACAGATCTACAGAACAGGTAGTGTGCCCAGCAATCTGAACTTTAAGAAACCCTCTTTCAGAGTCTTTGATATAGTTTCAAGTTTGAGAAACTGTTTTAGACTGAACAGATGATCCTAAAGCCATTTTCCTTCTGAAAAAAGATGATGACGTCTTCTAGAATCATGTGAATCAAATGTGTTGTACCATTTTTTAATTCCAGGATGTATTTGTACATGTATTTCTACATTTATCCATGCCACTTAGCTTGCCAGGAGTTAAGCGTTCTTGCCAATTTCAAGGTCTCCTGAATTTCAAGGATTTACCCAGTACCGGGGTGTGACTATGCTGAGACTGCCTCTATGAGGAACTACATAGAGTTGAAAGCTGAAGGGACAATCTGAGACTATTGGAATGTCCAGGGGCACCACAGTCACTTGGTTAAAAGCTTGGTGACTTGTCTTGTCCTAATGGTTGAAATCAAATTTGGGTGTTGACTTTAAGTTTCACACTGATTTTTAGTAAATTTTAAAACTCTTTTGAAAAGGAAAATCTGTACCTGCTTGCAAAGAAATCTTTCATTAAAGAGAAATCATCTGCAGCTTTCAAAAGCAATTTGATGATTTTTTATGCCCTCCAGCCCTCTAAAAGATAGCTTCTTTATGCAACACTTTTGGCGCTCACCAAGGAAATTAGTTGGGAAGCTCTTTGAATCTAAACAAGCAGAACTTCTCTTTGTTTACATTTTTCTACTACTCTGGAAGGTGGGGGGACTTCAGATTTTGAATAAAAGGTTTGAGATGCATTGTGTACTGTTCCTGGGTGGGCCGTGGGCTATGGGCAGTGTGCCGGGTTCTGATCACATGGTGTTGGCACAGAGTGTGGAGCTGGACAGTGATGATGGAGGAGGCAGTGCCGCCCAGAAGCAGAAGATTTCCTTCCTGGAGAACAACCTGGAGCAGCTCACCAAGGTGCACAAGCAGGTAGGAGAGTTCTGCTGCCTCCCACAGCCTCATTGTGTGGAGGCCACACTGTGTGGAGGAGGATCTGATACTGAGGGTAAAAAGATTGCATGTAATCAGTGATCAGAGAACACGAGCACTGGGCAAAGTGTAGTCGCAGCTACTGGGGAGGCTGAGGTGGTAGGATCATTTGAGCCCAGGAGTTTGAGACCAGCCAGGACAACATAACAACACTGTCTCAAAAACAAGACAAAACAAATCCTTTAGTCAGTCCTTAGTGACATCCTTTATATGTAAAAGACTTCATTTGATTGAAGCTGTATATAGAGAACTGATAGAATAGAAATTCTCTAGAGTTTGGAAAATGCAGTGTCCAGAGTCCTGTGTTTCAATTCTGCCTTCATGCCAGCCTTGGATTCCAGCTGGTCATCTCACGCAATGCCTGTGAGGCACCTGAACCTCATGACCCCAGAGAATGCACAAGTGCTGGGCTGGGTCATGTACCTGATTTTTAAAATAGTTGAGAAAATGGACTGCTTCACTCCCACAGTGGGAGACAAGACCCTAAGGCCAGAACCCCTATTCCCTGTCATCCCATTCCTGGATATTTGGGGTGCCCTCTTGGATCTTTGCCACACCTTAGCATTTATCTGTGTGAAACACAGATTACTGGGTACACACACACACATGCACACACACACACACACACACACACACACACACACACACACACAAATTTAGGCAGGTCGGTTAGGTCCGGTCCTTTCTGCCCGATGCTGGCCTGCATTGGACTGTTTTCTGGCTTTAGGATTTGGGATGTGGTAGGAGTAGTCCATCTTCCTGCACCATATGGTTGAGGCGACATCATTTCTCCTTGACTTGTTAGGTTTTTGCAACAATGCTGGTGATGAAATTTCCCCCAGAAGGGAGATGACAGATCATCCTAGCTGAAGTCATTCAACTAAATTGTTGATGAGAAATGTAGAAGCAGAAACTGCCAGGCATCTTGAAACGTGGCTCTGCGATTCATTACTTTATTCATGAATTCGATGAATATTTATTAAAAACCTACTATCTGCTAGGCAGTGCAGCTGATGCTGGGGTAAACAAAGCAGGTGGGATCCAGCAGCACCTTGCTTTGATAAAGTACATTCTGATTTTCAAAACTTTCTTTGCTCCACCTGTGTCAACCATGGCTGTGTTCAATAATCTTTGTTTTATGGATGCAAAACCCAAGACTTCGTGGGGTCAGATGATTTCCTTCAAGTCAGATGGCAAGAAATAATACAGCTGTCACTTGAGCTACCCTTCACCCTGGGGCTGGCCTGGGGCTTCTTAATTGTGAGTCTTAGGTAGGAAGAAACAAGCAGTAATCTCCTCTTTCCTGTTAGCCTTTGAATCTGTTGCAAAGCTGGGTCCAAACTCAGTACTAGTGTAGAGAGTGGTTCTGCAGTCAATGTACTTGTAGAAAGCTCTAGAACAAAGTGTTCATTAAGTGCTCTAAATTTTTTTCTGTCATTTTAAAAAGTAGTATGGTTGTGATACATAATAAATACATATGAAATCTCGATGTTTTTCAGCAAGTACTTTTTTTTTTTCCTGGTCCTGGGAATCAAACTCGAAGCTTGCCAGGCAAGCTCTATGCTGCTAAGCTATATCCCTGGCTCTTCACCAAGTATTTTTGAACTGACTTCAAATCTCTCAATTTAATCTAAGTATGGTGGCTCAGTCCTGCAATTCCAGTGCTAAGGAACGCTAAGGCAGGAGGATCACAAGTTTGAGCCCACTCTGGGCAATTTGGAGATTTAGTGAGACCCTGACAAAAAAATAAGTAAATAAATTTTAAAATAGAAGGGATGTAGCTCAATGCAAAAACCCTGGGTTCAATTCCCACTATCACAAAAACAAAGCCACATAATACAGTACTCACATTTCTCATATTAGTACCCTAGTAGTAACATTTTCACACCTTCCCCCACCCTCCATAACAAACAAATACAAGAAATAAATGCTGCCCCCAATTGAAAGTTTCCTTTGGCTGGAAATTACCTTTTTTGTTTTGTTTGTTCTGCTCTTTTGGAGACAGGGTCTCACTGTGTAGTCCAGGCTGTCCTGGAACTCCCAGCCACCCTCCTGCTTCAGCCTCCTGAGCGTGGGGATTACAGGTATGCGCCAGGACGCCCGCTAGAAATGGCTTTTACTGTTTCCTCCTGCGCCCTAAGTCCTAGCGCACCCTGAATCATGAGTTTAGCAAGCTAGAGTTCCTTGGCATGGTATTTTTGTCTTCCTTTATGGCTCCCCGAATATGCGGTCCTACAGATTGTCAAAGATGATCTAGCATGAGTAGTGGCTCAGCGGCTAGAGTGTCTAGTCCTTCCAGTTCAGGGTGGCAGGCAAAGCCACCCTGGTGATGGACTCTCCTTCTTACCCCACCGCAGCTGGTGCGGGACAACGCGGACCTGCGCTGTGAGCTGCCCAAGTTGGAGAAGCGTCTGCGAGCCACCGCTGAGCGAGTGAAGGCACTGGAGAGCGCGCTGAAGGAAGCCAAGGAGAACGCCATGCGCGACCGCAAGCGCTACCAGCAGGAGGTGGACCGCATCAAGGAGGCCGTCAGGGCCAAGAACATGGCCCGCAGGGCGCATTCGGCTCAGATCGGTATGTGTGCCCCGTCACGCCTGACAGCTGAAAGCTGCGAGGGGCCTCATCTGGGACCATGTTAATCTGAAGGTTGTGATGGGGTTTGAGGGTCTTGGCCCCCACAGCTCCTCTCCTCCAACCTGGGAGAGTGAGCCTGTCAGGCACCTGCTGCCCTACTCAAGTTCTCTAGAGTTCCCAGCTGAGCTGGAGCCCCCATGCTGCTGGTAGGAAGAGGGCTATAGCAATAAACTAAGGTACACACTTGGAAACACTGGAGTATATGACAGTTTCTCGCCCTGAGGTTCCCTTATGGTCTGCACCAGCCAGGACCACAAAGGAGCATGTAGGTAGACAGAAATCTCAGAGAAAGCCATTTCCAAGTCCAGGTTTGGAAATGACTTGGAAAGAGCCAGGCTGGCCTTGGTGATGGGGTGTAGTTCCAAGCCGCCAGGGGACCTCTATGGATCTTGACATTTTGCCCATGTGAAAGATGAGAGTGCAGCTAAAGTCACCAGGTTAAAGACATAAGAATGAAAGGGATTTAGGGATAATCTGTTAAGAGTTTTTAAATTGAAACATTGCTAATAGCATGTCATGTTATTCTCCATCAGATATTGCTGTGTGGATGTATTGCAAAGCAGCAACTTCAAGTTTCTAGTTTTAAAATCCCTTAGTGATTTGTTACATTTATTGGATTTCATAACCTTTGAGAATCTACTGAAAACTATGGGCCCTCTCGCCGGAAAAACACATCACAGTTAGAATTTTGCATCTGAGTTCAGGGACTACACAGATCCCTGTGAAATCCTTGGGAAACTGTGGCTCCATCTCACCATAAAAAGGAAAGTCTTTTGTTTCTAATTTTATTTTCTTTCTGATTGATTTGTAAGTACTGTCTGTCCTGGAATATCTGGATATCCTGGAGTCACTAACTATACTCCTCCTAGGGCAAAAATCGCTTTTCAGAAAGGTCTGGTGGTAGAGGTGATTGTCATGTTGATAAACATCATGACTCTGGTTGTCACCAGGAGCCATTGGGTTGGGATGCTGTTTTGGCATTTGGTGTCTATTTGTTTTCTCTCCTTTGTGTTGGATACAGCCAAGCCTATCCGCCCGGGACACTATCCAGCCTCATCTCCAACAGCGGTCCATGCCATCCGAGGGGGAGGAGGCGGCTCTTCAAACTCTGCTCACTACCAGAAATAAATACAGAGTGAGTTCCTGGTGTCAGTGGTGGTATCTTTTTGGAGTAGCTTTGGGGTATATTTGGAGACAGAGCTTTATTGACTTCTTTGAGCCCCAACCAGGCCACCTTTGCCATGTGCATATGACATCTAATAGAGAAAAGTTCAGTTGTACTGTAGGACAGGCCCTGACCTAGCCTCACCTCTATCTAGAGCCCTGGGGCTTTCTAGTGGAACCACCTGGGGCTCATAGGACCCTGGGCCAGGTCTGGCCTTATTGCATCCAGGAATAGGAGAGGTGTAGAAAAGAACTCACTTGAACTTTCTTTTATCTGTGGGACTCCCTTCTGTAGTAGCTGAACTCCAAAAGGGCATTACCTGTTTGTCAGCTGCATAAGTTTATACCCACGGCACAAGGAAAGGGCAGATGACTTTAAATTTCAGGAACTGAATATAAAAAGAGCCAGAAAATAGCTGTCTTTTTGTTATTACTATTGGACCATAACAAGTGGACTTTTGAGATGCTGGTCTATAAGCCTCTCTTCTACAACCCACGTGACCAACATTGCTTTAAAGAAAAGGAGAGATATGCTTTGGAGAAGAGGAAAAGGAGAGAGCTAAGCCTGTGCTCCTTTATTGAAAAATAGAGAACAGTAGTTCCTGTTGGATGGCACCTGTTGGATGGCGGCCAGAAAACTTCGTGTAGGAAAAGAGGGACTCTGCCTTTGAAAAGGAGGGGGTGAGGGGCTGGGGATTTAGCTCAGCGGCATAAGCACCTGCCTTGCAAGCAGGCAGTCGTGAGTTCGATCCCTGGTACCGATAAAAAAGAAAAGACAAAAAAAAAAAAAAAAAAGAAAAGGAGGGGGTGACTACATGCACTAGCCTTGGCCTCCATGCCCTGCTAGGGAAGCTCATTTAGAGGTAGGCGAGATTAGCTGGTGTGAAGCCTCTGCCAGAGGACTCAGAACATTAATTCCTCGTTTATTCCTTTGTGTGTCAAAGTAGAGGGCAGTGAATGTCAGAGGCTGGAGCCTTTGCCCAGGGTCCGGTGACAGCATTGCTAAGGTTCCACTGAAAACCCCTGAGGAGTTTGATTGGTAATGGTTCCCAGGTAGCTTTCAGCTGCATTGCCCCAAGCAGTGCAGAGGAGCAAGACAGGGGTTGGTCAGACTCATGGGAACTTGAGGGCAGGCCAAGGCGGACTACAGCAGGTGACATGCCCACCAGCACCTGCCTTATCCTAGGAGGATGATTGGGAAATGGTCTTGGCATTGGGCCACCCCATTCAGGTGTAACCTCTTCTGATATGAAATAAAATGAAGTTAGACATTTACTGCTGCTGTTGATTGCATGATGTCAGTCTCAAGGCTAATACCTGAAGACATTTAAGGTCATGTTGGACAGAGAACAGAGAAGCCTAAAACCAGTGGTTCTCACTGCAGTGGAGGCTGGAGATGGAGTTTAGCTGTGGAGGGAATGCTTGACAAGTATAAGGCACTGGGTTCAATCTCTAACACCAAAAAACAAACACAGAAACCCACTTTGGACATCAACGTCATCTGGCATGGGTGCAGGCTCCTTAGTGTGGGATGGGGCCTGAGTCTTTGTCTTTTTTTCAATAACCGCAGGTGGTTTTGCTGTCCACCAGGGTGTGAGATCTGCCATCCTACAGTAACTGTGATTTGCATAGGGTGGAAGCTTCTCATGTAAAGGATATTTGAGGGTTGTCTTCTAATAATTGTAAATGAGCTCCCCAGTGAAAACAGAAAAGCCTTCACTGCAGGCTCACTGTCCTCAGCAAGGACCACGACTCCTCGAGGTCATCCGTGCTCAGCAAATTGACTTTAATTGCAGTTTCAGTCCTCATGTTACTACCCCATTTGAGCTGCAGGTGGAGTACCTTCAGAGGAAGCAGGAAAAGGGCAAAAGCCGCCCTCCCAGATGACTCAACGTATTATAAGTGGTTGTCTCAGATGCCCCATGAAAGCAGGTATCTCTGTATCCCTCTGGGCAGCAGGTGGGCACAGACCGTGTCTCACTGGAGAGGATGCTAGGAAAGGCAGTCTTAGCTGGGCTCATCGTGGCCCCAGCGAAGGGCAGTGTGGTTTTACTGAGAGTTAGGAATAGGTGCTCAGCCTGGACACCCTGCATATACAAACGCCTGCTGTGCAGCAGCACTGGGCTGCATGTGCTGTGTACATCACCGTGTTTGATGAAGTCACCCAAAAAGGCAGGGCACTAGCCTCCCATCAAATTTCTAATAGATATAAGGTCCAGGATTAAGATATAAAGTCCATAGGCGGACAATCACCTTCTTGTGGGATCCAGTGAAGATCTGCCACACTTACTCCAAGGCATTGGCTACTATTTGCCAGTATGGGTTCTTCTCACACAGAAGATGGTAAATCAGTACTTCTGGTGAGACTTGGAAGTGTGGCAAGACTTCCAAAGTAACCGCCAGCCCGACAAACTATAACAATTCTTTCTTTATTTAAAGTACTTGATTATTTTACCTACAATGGGAAACTCCTTAACATACTTCATCCATTCAGCTCCTAAAGCTAGATGCTTTTATCAGTGTCACAAAATAAATGCGTTAGTATGGCAGTGTGGTTGAGGGGACTGGTATTGGGTTTTCAGGTGTCAGGTCTTCTATTTTCTCCCAGTTATTTAACCTCAGTCTCTTTTTGTCATCAGTGAAATAGGAATCTTTTACCTGGATCACTGGCATAGAAAGTCTCCTTTACTAGAAATAGAAAAAACTCATTTTTTTTACATTCTCACAACCACTCAGCACTTCTGATACCCAGTCTCTAGTAGAGGCCACCCAGGCATCCTCTTAATTTATTTGTTTGGTTGGTTAGGGTTCTTTCTTTCTCTCTCTCTCTCTCTCTCTCTCTCTCTCTCTCTCTCTCTCTCTTTCTTTGAGACAAGGTCTCAAAGTGTCTAGACTACATAGAGTCCAGGCTGGCCTTGAACTCATTGTGTAACTCAGATTCACCTCTAACACGAAGCAATCCTCCTGGCCCAGCCTACAAAGTGCTGGGGTTACAGGTGTACAGCACTGTGCCAAACTGGCACCCTCTAATTTAATTTAGTTCTAACACTGTCTACCTGGAGAAGAGCCCATGGGTTAAAGGCTTAGTCTACAGGACTGCTTTCCACTACAAATGCCAAATTGTAAGCCCTAAAACTGTGGCTTGTGTTTGTATGTAGAACTTCCACATCTTCTGCATTACCTGCCAGGCACTCCTGTGTGGGTAGAAACCTAGAATTCCCCAAATCCAGACCTTGGGTTTCATTACATGGGCATGATTGATGAATCACTGGCCTTCGGTGACATCTCAACCTTAATTTCTGCCTCACAGAGTGGGTGGTAGGAGAGAGGTGGGGACTACACATTTCAATCTTCTTGCCACGTGGCTGGTTTTCCGGGCAGCCAGCCCCCAGCCTGGGATTATTCAGGAGCAACCAGCCATTAGTCATCCCATTGGTGTGTGTGCTTCACTCACTGTTCAATAAGAGATTGCTAGGGCTTTAGGAGTTTAGGAACCAGGGTCCCTTGCCAAGTATTTCTTTCTTTCTACTTCACACTTTCAGATCCTTCAATTCCTATTTAGTTTCTATAGAAGTAGATTGTAACCACTGAGTAGGGAAGCCCTGTATCTAGATGAGCATCCTATCTGGTTCTATAAGCAAATACAGACTCTTAAAGATATTATCACTTATTTGCCTAAAAGTTATGAGGAAGAGCATTGACTCTTTTAAAGAAATTACTGGGCATTTCTCAGCAGAATTTTAAAAAAAGAGAGTACCCAAGGGAGCCGGGAATTATAACTGGAAGTGAAGAAATACTAAATCATTTTTTGAAAATTGGGAATATGGAATTCAGAGTTTAGATGAGGCAGAACCTTAGTGAGATCATCCCTCCTGACCTCAGGACCTAGTTCTGAAGTATCCTGATTTCTGACTCTTCCTAGCCCTTACTTACAGCCAGAGTGACATTTCCTGCTTGGTTGGTATTTGGAGATCTTGGGATTTCCTTCTGCTTCATCTCAGGGTTCATAGTCACAATGAGTATTTTGGTTTTTCCTCAAGGTTCCCCAACCACTTAAGATACCATCATGAAAAAATCAAAGGAGACCAGGATAATGGTGGCTTTGATCTCATCTAGATCAAATCTAGGAGAGTTGCCCCAGGGCAAGGAGGCAGATCCTTTTCAAGCATCAGAGCTGGACAAGGGACAGTATGGTGAAGCAAGCTAAGACTCTGCAATTTGTAATTGATCAGACCTAGCTCCCAGCTCTGGCCTTGTGACACTGGGCAAGTTGCTTGATTTCTTCCAACCTCAATTCCCTCATCTGCCAAATAGAATCAGGCTCCTGGAGCCTGTTCGGTACTTGTTTCCACAGTAGATTTTCCTGAGAAGGCTGCTCTTATGCACTGGTGTGTTTGTTGGGGGAGACAGAAAAATGAGCAAGATAGCTTCTGAAGAAAGTTAAGAATGTATTGATGGAATAAATGGGAAGGGCTGCGACATGGAAGTTGAGAACTGTGTGGTCAACAATGCCAGCCGTGTATCAAGGTGGGGTGTAATGGCACAGATGCTCCAGTGTCACACCATGGCCATCACCATCAAAGTTGTTGGGGTGGGAGTTGGGCTCAAATGCATGAAGACTTTGATGGTGAGATGAGCAGTTTTGACTGGAATCTAGGAGTGTGTGGGGGTATTGGGATTTCAGACATGAGTGAAGTGGGACCATAACAAGGCCCCCTTGGACTGCATTCTATCAAAAGGTTGGGAGTTGGGGTGAGAATAAAGAGTAGTGGGCTGTGAGGGATCCGCTTTGAGGGCCACTGGCTGAGGTAGGGCAGTGGAGTGGGAAATGTGGTCACAGTCAGCACATGTGTCAGAGCCAGGCCCTGCTTCTAGGGCTTAGCCATTACTGCAAAAAGAAAGGGGAAGCAAAGGAATCAAAGGTAATCTCTCTCTAGGGTTTGGCTCTAACAATTAGGTGACTGCTTAGTAACTTGTTCACCATGACAGAGAAAACTGGGTGATAAGCAGGTTTTGTGGGACAAAGATTGGTTCCCATCAAGTTAATTATGTGGTGTCTCTTTGATGTCCAGCCAAACTCTCCAGCTGTTAGTTGTGTTGGATTCGTGGATCTGGAACTCAAGAGAGAGGCCAGGACTGGAGGCCTTAGAGAATTAGGACCCGTGGCCTGTGTTGAAGACCTAAGGTCTGGAGGAAGTAACCTATCAAAAGGAGAGACAGGCAGAGAGGAGCTGGGGGTGATAGTGGTGACTAGACAGACTTGGGACTGGCAAAGGGCAAGGTCTGAGGAAGGAGATAGACTAACCAGGGAATCAGAAAAGAGGAATGTGAGGTCACAGGGGCCGAGGGTAGATGCTGGTCTTAGAGGGCAGAGTGGTCAGCTCAGAGCTTGAGTCCGATGATGACACGGACTGGGTGGTAGATGAAGTGGGCATCGTTGGTGAGGGGGTGCAGCCAGCCCACTTAGCAGGGACCAGAGAGTGGGGCTGAGGAAGTAGTGCTGGCGACCGTACATCCTCACTGGTGGGATCTTATTTGAGGAAGGACAGAGGCATGGAGCAGTGAGGTGAAGGGTGTCTAGGATGGGAGGTATTACAGCTTATCGATAGGCTGATGACAGCAATCGAGCTGAGAGGGGCAGGCAGCGAGAAACATGCAGGGAGGTGGCAGGTGGGGTGTGGAGGGAGGCGAGGTGCATCTCAGCATCTCAGTGCCGCTCTTCTGCAAGTAAGAAGCCTGGTTATCCAGAGCAGGGAAGGTGTGAAATGGATTTGTCAAGGAGTGATGAATGCTTGTTTGAGGACCCACACTTAATGTAGACACCCATTTAAATATTTGTCCATCTCTCATTCTGAGAGCTCTGGGGACTTGTTTGCTTTCCTGGCAATGCTTTGGCCAACCAGTGGGGACTTGTTCACATGAGTCCACCAGATGGCGCCAGGGGGGCACTGCTAAGGCCACAGCTGTTAGAAGACAGTCTCCCTCTCTCCCTTTCCCTCTGTTTCTCCACTTTCTTTCCCTTCCTTTCCACTCTTCCCTCCCTAGCTCTCTGTATCTCTCCCTCTCTGTTTTTCCTATATTTAAGCCATTGTCTCAAATTTGGATAGCAAAAAGAGTACTTTTAAGAAATAAAATTCTCACAGGTCCCTAGAGTTGATTTAAATTATTTTAATATTTAAATGTTTGCAGATTTTAAATAACACATATCCCCTTTGTATGGATCCCCTGCAACTACTAAATAAAAAAGAAAATAGATTAAAACCCCAAATCAAAAATCCAAAGCATTCATCTTAACACAATTTGAGGAAAAGTGGTCTTTCAATGAAAATACTGAGCTAAGGGCACTGTGACCTGTGCTGCGGGGCTTCGGAGAGTGATGTGTCCTTGCTGCATGTGTCCTGGTGTGACAGAGCTCTTTCTCTGCTGAAAGTGCGGTGGGATCACAGCATGCCTTCATGTCACTTTGTCTCCACATGGATGGATCACATTTTCCTGCCGAGTGCAGCTCTCTTCAGCTAAAGGATGATTAAAGTCCTGAAGAGTCATTCCAGCTTGGTCATAACAAAAGCAAGTGAGGAGCTGTAGGTGCACAGGAATACTGTCACAAATTCAGCTAGGTGACAGAGAAGGCACATGTTAGTTTCCAAGATTTCCATGACAAAACACAAAACTGGACAAGCTGGAAAGTGAAGCAGAATCCCTTTGTTGATGCAGATTGAGGCTTTGATATTTTGAGGCATACTTTTATCAAAAGCTGTATCTATAAAGCCTAGAAATCATAACATTTAATAAAGTTCTGACCAGCTTTGATAAGATAATCTCAAAAGTCATACTAGTAGAGCTAGACAGGCTCATTTAGGGCTCTGATAGTACCTGTGAAGAAGCAAATCACTGTTTTCCACTGTGAGCTTATAGTTTGAAGCCCAGAGAAAGCCATGTGGGCCACCACTTGTCCAGTGGTGGCAGGTCCCAGGTTGACAGCTGCAAAGGCTGACTCTGGTGTTCAGTTGTGATGCCTCTGTCACTGATCCTTGTGAGATTCACAGGACCAGTGACTGTCACGGAAACATGGCTCTGTCTTCAAGTCTTGCTTCAGGGTCTTTATGATGAATATGTTAATTATTGTAAATAATACTTTTAACTTTGGGGAGCTCCTCCAGTTTCCTCCGCTATTCCTTTTGCTGCTGTATTGCTCGTCTGTGGCTGAGGACCCGAAATCCTGGGCCTGGGTTGCCTTGTACCTGCTATGCTCAGTCTGCAGCCTGCCCTCTGGGCCCAGTTATTTGGAATGCATGAATTATCATCTTTTCCTAAAAGTCCAGTCACACTAAGCTACACCCAAACCGGTAAACTCCAGATGGATAGCAGAGATGGTAAATCCAGTATTTTCTAGCACTTAACCTTCAGATTTCCTTAACTATGAATACTGGGTGTTTCACCACATTCACAACCCTTGGCTGAGGTGATACTTTTGGGCTATGCAGGCCCCTGCTGCCTCTTTCTTTGAACTGAGGAAGTGCCACCCTTCTCAGGTGGAGCCCTGAGCCTGTGCCCTTTCCCTCCAGTGCTTTCTTCATTCTGCCCCAGGCAGGATAGCATTTCCTTTCTGAGCACTTGACCACTACGGTGACAGCTAGCCTTTCTATTTGCTTCCTTGGTCTGTCTTTGGGTTCCAGCTGAGCTTCCCAAGCTGGCACAGAAGCACCCATACTCTAGTCTTTTTGCTTCTCTGACCCACTCCCTATCTTTCCATCTGGTTACTGTTTTATCTGTTAAATACCTGAATCCATCTTCTCTTGCACCATTGTTGGAGTCCATGATCTTTTTCCTAGTGTTGACATCTTAATCATATTAAATATTATATCAACCTAAGATATACACTTGACCTCTGTCCACAACACACATGGAAGGTGGGCAAAACATGGCTGTCAGATGTAGCCCTTTGAAATGGTGAAGCCCAAGGAACCTTACAAATAGCAATGACCTGATGGACCCTCCAGGCACACGTGATCCACATCTAACCCACTGAGTCATCCTTTTGCCTCTGTTAGAAAATCCTAGCAGTAATGACTGAATCACAAACGTATATCAAGGGAGGATTTGTGTCTGTAGGCAGGGTAGCTGGGGGATTATGGGCTAAAGATCTGTTGCCTGCCTCTGGTTTTGAACCCTGACTGTCACGAACTAGGTGACTCACTTCATCTCTGCCTTAGTATCATCCTCTAAAATACTGCCAGCACCTACTTGCAGGGGGGCTATGAGGATTTAATATGTTAATACATACATAATGCTTAGACTCTGCACAGCCCACACCCAACACTCAGCAGTAACGTGTTGTCTACATTAGCTCATCCTATCTCATTCTGTGTTTTAAAAAAGGAGATGCGCCCTTGGGTTTCTACAGCTTGTTAGTAATAGATCCTAGATCAAGGACTCTGGTCTTCTGTGTAGCTGCTCTCAAAGTTCTTGACAGCAGGGCTCTTTATTCCCTTCAGAAATATCAATGACATCAAAGAGCTTTAATGCTTGTGAATTATACCTATTCATATTGATCAAAAAATTAAAATATTACCAGGATTACTTAAAAATGTAACAAATCTACCATATGTTACTATAAATGCATTTTTAAATGAAAAATGACAGTTTTAAGACAAATTCCAGGCAAATAGCATTGTTTTTCATTTTTGTCAACCTTATTGCTGTCTGGCTTAATGGGTGACAGCTGGACTCTCCTAGATCCTTCTGCAGTCTCTGTCCATTGTGTATCACTTTAGAGAAGTATGTACAGTGAACCTGGCCATTTACTCCAGACAAGTTCCTGGGAACTGAATAGTTACAACTGTGGTGTGGAGAAGTTAAGGTCATAGCACTGACACTGTCGGCCTGTCTGGGGATGGAATAGGATGATGTAAAGGAAGAGAAAAATATCCTAGAAGGGTGCCTGGCAAAATTATATCCTCACAAATACTAAAATATTAACTATTGTTACTGTGCTCTTGGAGACAAGCCTTAAAAGAATAGATGGAATGAGGGCTGGGAATGTAGCTAAATGATAGAATGATTGCCCAGTATGCCTAAGGCTCTGGGTCTGATCCTCAGAACCCCCAAAAAGAAAAAAATAATAGAGGAAGTGAGACTTCAGGTGAGAGGGCAGTGATAACTGTGGTGGGCACTGTTGAAATCTGGGATTTTGCAACTAGAATCCTAAAGTCCAAGGGAAGATTGATGAACACCTCGCAAAAAGAATTGCTGACTTTGTTTATAGTGCAGTACGCAGTTGTACTTTAACAGCCATCAATTTCATGTTTCTCAGAGTCAAATTCTGGGCAACTCAAACAGTTCCTGCCCAGCAGGCTGCAACAAAGCTTCAAGGTGATGAATCCACTTCTCTGCATTGGTGATCAGTAAAGTACAAATGGTAATTCTTATAATGTGAGAGTTGAACGATAGAAAGCCCAAAGAAAAGATAAAACTATGTACTGTTTGGATTAAGCTTAAATCCACTGCAAGCAATTGCAAAAGGCAAAGTTGAGGGGTTGGAATCTCTAAATACTTCTTGCAAAACCCTTATATGTAATTAGCTTCTTTCTTTAGCCTTCCCCACCCCTTTTAAAGAAAAGGTGATTTTTATTTCCTTCTAAATCTGGTCACACATTGCCAGTCTGAATTACCATCCTCAGTTTGGCAGAGACTTGAAGCTGGTCAACTAGTGGGTCACTGGGCCCAGGCCCCTGCCACTAGGCAAATAAGTGATTTCTCTGACCCACCTAAGAGAGAGTCAGCTGCACTGGCATCCCGTGTTTTCAAGATGCTTAGCCCCTCTGCGATGGGAACAGTTAGAAATGGCTTCTTTTGGGGAGAAACCATTTGCCTTTAAAATGTATATCTATTTGCCTTCCTGAATTTTTATGAGAAGCCCAGCACCCAGGTAGTGAGGAGGATGCATAGAAGTATTTTAGTTGATTCCAGTTTTTCTTGGGGCTGCAGGAAAGACTTAAGACAGGCCCACAAAGATCTAAACTCAGGATGAAGTTTTCTTGATAGTAAAGAAAGGACCCTGGATTGGTAGAAATTTTCTGCTTTTTCTTTTATTTAGCAAATGCCACAGTCTTAGGTCTCCTTTCTCACCCTTCTCAAGATGACTAAGCTAAGCAGGTTGTGGCCCCCATTTCTTTCAAACGGTTAGCCCAGTCATGCTGAGTCTTGCATATGGAGGGTGGGATTCGAATAAAAGGCCCTCTTGGTGGAAATCGTGTCACTTCATGGTCTGTTGGAGTTACTGAGGCCACACTGGGGAGTTTGTGTATCTAATGCTTGCTGTGTCAACATGGGATGGCTGCAGTCACTGTGCCAAGCCATAAACCCACAATGTCAGGTATGTGCTGAGCACCTCCCTGCCTCAGGCACTTGGGAAGACCATCACTCTGCCCAGCGTGATACTGGGCTCAGGAAATGAACCTGTGCGAAGTGAAATGGGGATTCATTGCTTATATTTAAAATATATTTCCATTGGTTTTCCACTTGAAATGGATTTTAAATGACAGCTATGACCATGCTTTTAGTTTTTCTATTTCTGGACCTACGAAGAAGCATAGATTCTCGCCAGAACAGCTAAATGTTAAACATATTTTTCTCAAAGGCTGATCTTCCTCTGTCTGGCTTCTAAAAATGGCAAAACATTGCCATGTAAGGTTATTCAAAGTCTTTTTAATTGGAGAGCTATGTAACTGTGGGAGATGATGGTGTTGAAGTGAGAAAGGTGGTTCCCAAATGACTTTCCTAAATATTTATAATTTTTTGTGCCAGGGAAGAGAGTATTTTTTAAAATGCATTGTTCTTTTTCCTAGTCAATTTCTGTTTTCTATCATCTTTTTTTCACCTCTTTTGTTCTTGTCTACTTTTATAACTCTTTCTAGACACTGAGTGTTTCTTCTTATAAGTATTTTACATTCTGCTTATTTATACAAAATATGTGAAGATTCTTACCATATTATAAATCAAGAGAGTGAAGGGGAAAAAACAGGGTGGGAGAGTATTGTAGTAGGAATTTGAGATGCCACAGCTGAATAGCAAATTTGGATGAAACCTTCTAGACGAGAAACAGGAAGTATGGTGTGTCAGATTAAGGATTTCTTTTTTGTACCAGGATTTGAACTCATGACCTTGTGCTTGCCCATCAGGCACTGTGCTGCTGAACCGTATCCTGGTCAAAAGTAGGGTTTTTCTTTAGCATTAGACATTTCCTGTACCAGGCAGTTCCTTTAGTGTTTCAAGCATGAGGCTGTAGCTGGTCTGCGTGTCTCCTGTAATTATCCCACAAAACATTATGAGATCTGTAGGAAGTGCACAGTACAGACACAGACAGACCCAGGCCCTCCAGCTGTTGGAAGGAAATTGAAATTTTCAGTGTCTTCCAAAAATTAAATTTATGGGAGTTAGTCAAAGGCTGAAAAAGGTCACTTGGAGGTGGGACACCATTGTCAAAACTGTCACCGTAGAAAACCTGCCCATGACCAGAACCTCTGTGGGGAGTAGAGTCAAGTCAAAGGCCTACCTGGGGATATCATTACTCCATGGGTGAGGTGTGCCTTTCAGAACTGGGCACCTCTTTGTAGGAGGCTGATCAGGAGCTGAGCCTGACCTGGGCCACATGCTGGCGAATGAGCAGTGCTGTTGATCATGCTGCAGAGTTGAGACAGCACGCTGCATTTCTCAGGATGTCCACAGGTTCAGCAAGTACTGCCTTTCAGAAGAAAATGTTGTGACTGTGTTAGAACAAAATGTATAAAACCAGGACACAGTAGGCTGTGCTTTGCAATATGTTAGCCACGAGCTACGCTTGTTCAATGAGCCCTTGAAACACAGCTAAGTCCCAGATGAGAAGAACTGAAAGTGAAAAATAGAAACCAGATTGTAAATACTTCTGGGAGGCAGTAGACAGTAAAAATCTCTCAATAGTAACATAGCAGTGTACAATACCTACAGATCTAATATTGATTACATGTTGAGATGATAATATTTGAATCTATTGGGCGACATGAAATATATTACTAAAATTAACTTTACCAGTTTCCTTTTACTTTGAATGTGGAGACTGGAAAGTTAAATATATGACTTGTGTTCTATTTGTTTTAGACAACTCTGATTTAAAAATCTAGAATTTTAAAAAATCATTTCTGAGGAGTGAATTTCTGTTATGTTCTCTAACTCCTGCGTTCTCTCTGATTCTCTTTCAGCAGATATGACTCCATGGAGCATGTCAAGGACTACCTTAACCACCAGTTCCTTCATTTTTCCCCCTCCTAAATACTTTTTTTTCCTTTTTCTTTTTAACACTTACTTACCCCAGCCATCTGCAGTACACCAGTTTCAGGTATTTTGAGCTGTGTAGAATTTCTGTGTGTACAGATGTGTGCTTGGACTTTGATCTTTCTGAGAAATTGAAAGGAGAGAGGATTACAGAACATCCGCTCACGACTCAGAAGCATCTCCACTGACTCAGCCTCCAGGGCACTGGGCAGTCTCAGGCAGTCCCTGGGGCCTCCTCGTTTGGCAGTACACATGACAGTACATATCCCATCGGAGCCCCTGACATGCCATTCCCTGGAGCGAACAACCAAGTGCCGTGGAGGCGGTGATCACACTCTGCCTCAACTGTCTGGTTTTCTGTATAATAAACACATTACTTTATATTTTTAGGGAACAAAAAGTGCTGCTATAGGGAATAAAATTTTCATTCTGAACACTTTTCCGAAAACAAAGTACCCCACAGGAGCATTTTGAATATCCCGGTCACATCTTTGGATCTGTAAAATATACCTTTTAGTATGGCATCTGTTAAAATGCCCAGCAAATTTCTTCAAGGCAGAAAAACAAGCTGACAGTAGCAGTGTAGAATTTGTTCATTCAAACACATCTATGTAAATGCAAAAAGTCATAAAATTCACCTCCAAACTGCTTGCTACTGAACCTGCAGCAACTAGTCTCTGCCGGCCGAGTTGGTTTGAACATCATTCCTTCAGACATGTTGAAAATGTTGCAAAGTCAGATGAGAGGAGATGGGGCTGCCCCCCTTGCTTCTTCCTCCCAGATCCTTCCAGAGCTTGCACTGGGGATGACCTGTTTTGTCTGGGGAACCATCTTAAGCTTGAAGAGGTCCTGCTAAAGAAATCCAGCATCATTCCAGCAGCTGAAAGAAAGAGCCCATGAGGGGAAAGTACAAGACAAAATTTGAGCTGTCTATGAATAAGTTGTCATTTTAACCCATCATTCCAGACTGTTTATTGAACTTTCTTTGGCACCAAATAGGCTTTATATTCTTCTAGGCATAATTAGAAGAAATCAGTATAAATGAATTTTTGCATTTAGCTGTTATTATCCTAATATCTGAATCTAAAGCTGATTCCCTTTACTTCCAGTTGGGCATATTAAAAGGACTGATTTCCAAATCCTAAGGTTTTCAGGGAAACTGACAGGGATCCAAGGAAGTTGATCTTGTGTGCTGCTACTTGTTATACATACTTTGGGGTAGGTCAGTGACAACCCAACCAGTCTTGGTGAAAGCACCCATCCTGTTATCATATATGCCCAAGATGTGTGAGCTGGCACTGTCATTTGCACCTGTCACGTAGGAGTGAAGTGTGTGCCAGGGGAGACTGGGTTTTCTCGTGGCCATGTGGGCCAAAGATAGTTCAAGTTGAGTATGTGTGTGCGTTTGTGCGTGTATGTGTGTGTATGTAAAGTGCAAAGTACTGTGCATTAACTTTCAAATTCTACTTGTATAAAATTTTCCTAACAGTAATGCTGCTTTGATTTAATTTATTTGTTAAACGTTGCACTTTGTCTTTGTGTGTTTTGTTTTGGGAGAGTATGAAAAGATGAATTCTGTTCAAGTATTTAGTTCATAAAAATGACAAATTTACACTCATTAATTATTTTTCATTTCTGATTTTGTTGCCATTGTCTGTCCAACATTATTGCTTGATCACTTATTTGTAGTCTGATAGCAGAGTCCTTGCAGGGTGGGTTTTGCAAGTCTTATCAGTTAATAACATGCCACAGATTATAACTTTGTTAGTAATATGTTTGCCTCTGAATTTGGAAGCTAAAACAGTCTTTGACAAGGTTGCTGATTAAATAATTGTTGGTATATACCACTTACTATTGTCCATCAGGCAGCTGTATTACATTGTGTTTGATAACTGAACAAAGGTTGGTGATTTTCTTTTTTCTTTTTTTTGGGGGGGTCATTATAAAATGGATTATTTTAGATTCATTCCAAAGTCATTTTTCCCTGGGTACCCCTTTTCTACTTCTGATGCATTGACTGGCCCTTTCATATTTCAAAAGAAACACTCATTTGTAGTTCCATATTGCTTGATCTCTACAAAGGCCTTACAAAAATCACTCTAGTTTTTCACAGAGAAAGTTGGCTTTGATGTCTTTTAAAGATAATTCTGCTAGTTGCTGATCAGCCAGTCAGTTCACCTAGCTTCAATCTTTATGAGACCTCTGATCTAATTTTCCTAAGCTGTGACTAACAGGTAGGCAGCTCATTAGAATAGATTATATAGTTTATTCAAATGTATCCCTAAATATTATTTTGTGTAATAAGCTGGTTTTTAGATCAGGGCCACATACTCTTTTAAAAATGCTGCATTTATGCAATTTCCATTTTTTACACAGTATTGCTGTGCATACTCTAAATGAAAAAACTACATTTCTGAGCCCGTCTATGATTAAATTTTTTGTTGTGTGTTATTTTTTTGCTTGTTTGTATGTGTGTTTTTTCTCTTCTGAATAATTTTATATTTCATGTCACTTCTGGATAATTCTCTCTTTGATGCTATCAGAGAGTAACCAGATGGTTTATATAAATAACATCTACCTGCAGGATGGTACATTGCTAAATTAGAAGAAAGCTGTTTGAGATATCAAGATTTTTCGTTGGGACCCAAAATCTATTATGGTAGTGCCAAATGCATTTTGGTCAATTACTGGAGAACTCTGTATGCACGTATCATCTGTTAAATGCTGTACAGTTTTATTGAATGGCAGTTAGAAGACAAAACAATAAAGGTGGTTAAGACTTTTAAAGAAAGTAGAATCCTTTGATTAAGAAGATGAGAATTTATAGAAATATTGAAATAAATAAAAATGGTTGTCTAGAGTGTAGTATCTAGTGACTTTTTGAAACCCTCAAGTTCACATACGGAAGTGATATTCCTGTCCAAGTTATCACCAGGACTCAGGGGGGCTTATCAGCTCTACTTTCCTGTAGAAAGAGCTAAAAGCAAATGAAAGTTCCTAACACTCCCCTCTTCTGAAATGTACATTTGAACAGGGCAGGAGTCATTTGGACTCTGGAAAGAAGATATATTAGTAACATTTTTCATTTGCAGAGGATAGAGGAGATTTTATTGTATAATCTTGAAAATCTTGAGCAAACTAAAGGAACCATATGTCTAATACTGTTTAATTTAAAATTGACGATGTAGACTTTATTTTAAAAACGTATTGAATAAAGGCCAGGTGACTGTTGAAGAAAGCAGCAATCCATGAAGTCTGCTTACTTATTTAAAAATCGTGTATCAATTTTAAATACTTTCCAGTATTTGCAGATTTAAGGGGAATAGGGCATTCTGTAGAATTATATATGTCTGGTTTGTAAAGTGTGTCCTGTGTACTGCAGATGTGTGTTCTCTGGGTTTTATGTATCTGTACAGTAGTTTTCATTTTAAAGAAAAAAATTGTGGACAAACTTGTTTTGGTGGTTTTTGGGGGAGAATGGCAGTTTGTATCAAGTAACAATGTGATACCATAGTGTGTGTCATAAAAGACCTGAAAATAACCCTCCCCTGGCCTGTGGAAAATTTTGGTTATCTTCTAGGCTCTAAAATGAAGATGTATGGATACTCGGCAGACTGCATGTTGTATAATTGAGATATAAAAAAGTGGACAATAAAACTCAATTAAACTTTGGCTGGTCCATATTTTCTTATTTGAGTCATCCTCATGTTCTCTCATTTAAAATGTCAGAATGCTTGGGTTGGGATGAGCTTTTTTCAGGCCTCAGACAAGCAGCAGCTCCTGTGTGCAACATGAACAAAATCAACTCTCCTGGTTTTTTCTTCTACTTTACATGAATATATGTTTTAAATTTCTTTCCATTGAGAACGGAAAAAAAAAATTGACATTTGTTTCTTCAACTCAGAACAGATAGCTACAGATTTTAAAAAGTATCATTAACTTTTTAAAAGTATGATTAAATTAAAGGTCAGCAGACTATAAGTTGAATTTCTGAATTTCTTTCTGCTTGGGAGAGTCACTTACTTTGATGGTAGACTGCAGAGTATTGGCATCTTTATCTAATGATTTGAAATCCTGTATATGTTGAAGGATTATTGGCATCTTTTTGAGAGAGGCTGGGACATGCATATTCCTGTTTAACCCATTGATTCTCAGGATTAAGGTACAGGTCTGAAATTTGATGGGAAGACACCTGTGTGAAGCCTTTGAGTAACAACCAGTGGCAGCACACAGGGTTTTTGTTTTTGTTTTTTTAAATTAAGTTCCTCAACAAGGGGTCTTTCCTACTTGGCTCAGTAGAATCATATGACTGCGCATGATATGGATATGAAGCACCCTTATTTTTGTTGCTTTGGTTTGGCTAATTGCATGAGAGAACCAGACAGTGTGCCTCTTTGCCTTAATCAATTAAAAATGGAAAGGATAGGTGCCAAATGGTTAATATGGATACAGCAAACAGTGAGATGTTCTTTCTTGAAACTATTCTCCAAGAAATTGGGAGATGTGATTTCCAGATATTAGCTTGTTAAAAGTGACTTACGCAGTAAGCTACAGACATGGCGGATGAATATTTAGGCTGAAGCCTGTTTGTTTAAAATGGGGAAGCAGTCCTGTGAAAGCAGAAATTTAAGCACATATCAGTTCAGAGCACAGTTCTACAGCATGGTAGGGCTGCATGTAAAGTTCTTTCAAGTCTTTCTGCAGGTTTCTTGTTCCTTCAAGCTCTGAACTGTGCTGGGGCTCTGCCTTGGAAGAACAGAGCTGAAGCACCAGTGGGACAAAGTGGAAGGGAAGCGATAATCTGCTCAGGCAATTACCGGTGATGTCTGTGTGGCAGGTTTAATTCTGGCATTTATGACAGGCTACGTCTTGTAATTTGTCTTTGGTACATAATACATTGAACAGAAATAGGCATCTTGTGACACATCAGATGAAAATGTGGGTTCATTTGACAAAAGGCATCCCAAGCCATGAGGTTTTACTTTCCTTTTGGCATTTGGTGGTTCTTCAGCCAATCTGCAAAGGAAATTCCAATTTCTATGTGGTTAGTTGCCCTCAAAGGAACTCTTAAGACATGCAGATAACCCGTTAGACATTTTCCTATTTGCAGTGGCCTGGATGGTGAAAGCTGAAATTCTCCATCTGCTCTGCCCCACTGTGCAAAAGGAGTTTCGGTATAAGAATCCTAGAGGGCCCCTCTTCCCTGAAACACTTTCCAAACCCTCTGTCTTCTGCATGACCAGACTGCAAATGATTTTCATAGTATAGCTTTTCAAACAGATTTACCCACAACAAAATTATATTCCTTTTAGAGAAACTGATAAACGTCTCAGATGCTGTGAAGCAGCATAAGAACCTTGAAATACTCAGAAAACTGCAATTAATTTGGGAGCCTATTCTGGCTGTGGGAGCCTATTCTGGCTGTGCATCAGACACCATTTTAAGTTCTTTACATGATTAATCTACATAATCCTCCTAATCACCTCATGAGGTAAGCACCATTATCTTCCTTTTACAGGTGAGGAAAGGGCACAGAAAAGTTAAGTGGTTTGCTCAAGGTCTCATCGCTGAGGAACCAAGATGTGACCACACAGTCTGGTTCTAAGGCTTGTGGCTCACAACTCCTTTTATGAAGAATTGTATGATATCTTCACAACTTTTCATAGAAACCGAAGATATTTACGTTTGAATTACTTTAAGCAATCAAATATGTCTAGGAAAGAACGAAGAAGAGAGTGTCTGACAGTACTGACCTAGGAGGCTTCTAGGGCAGTAGTGCTTTGCCCTTGTCAGGATCTTGTTCAAACACAATACTTGAAAGAAGTGCAGCAATCACTACTGTCACACTTTGCTAACTGTGTGCGATAAGCAATTAGTTTAGTGCGGGGATTTAGCTCAGCACCCTAAGCACCTGCTTGGCAAGCACAAGGTCATGAGTTCAATCCCTGGTACCAAAAAAAAAAAAAAGAATTTAGTTTATTATGTGTCGATTTTTCTTTTTCTTTTTTTTTTTTTTTTTGCATTTTAAAATGCATGACCACCATTCCTGTGCTTCTTAAGTGAAAAGCTATCAGTATTTTCTTGTCTCCTCTCAAAAGGCTCACAAGGATGACCTGAGTGGCACTGGATGGGTGTTGCCTCATCCCCAGGGATGTGTGAGTCCTTGAAGAGACTATTCATAGCTCCCTGCTGATAATAGCTGTCCCCTACCCCACCTCCTGCCCTGTCATAATGATTAACCTGTTCTCATTTTAGAGCTTTAGGTTTTAGAAAAAGTAAACATGCCAATCATACCATGCATGCATGTGCAAGTACAACTATAAGAGGGGTGAAGACAGAAGGGGATTCCCTCCCTGAGCTCCTCCACTGTAGCTAGAGCTCCCTTTACCTATACTCTCCTATTGGAGCATATCTAATGGCCTGTTGAAGGCTGGGAAGGACAGGCTGTTGGTGGGGTTCTAAATCCTTCAGCCAGTGGCAAGACAGTGGTCCCCACCCCCAGCATCCTTGCTGCCCTGCAGCACCCTCTTCTGATATGTGCGTCAAACAATACCTCGAGTGCCGGTCCTCCAGAGGTATACTACAGAGTCATTCCACAGTGGAAAGCACTATGAATTTGGGACTTGGATCTAACTGTCAGCCCCTCATCGACTACCTGAGACAGTGGTCAAGGTGTCTAACTACAGAGACTCATGACTTCATTTCAGCACCAGCATTAGATTTATTGCCATCTATTCACAGTATCGGGAAATAGAGCCTTTGGGATCAAATAAGCAGTCTCAGGAAAGCAATTTATAATAAAGCTACATAAATAAGAGTGTGTTATTCAAACACTCCCTAGGAGAATGCATTTTCATCCTGAACCCCACCTATTGTCTTATACCTATCACTACCAATATCTACTGTTGAAGAATATGAGGAGGCAATGGAACTCATCCAATTCCACCCAGTGAAGTCAACTCTCTGTGGCCCTCCATCCTTTTCCCACTGTCTTAGTCACTTAGGGTTGCTCTAACAAGATATCTAGACTGGATGGCTTATAAATAACACATTTATTTCTTATAGTTCTGAACCCTGAAAAAAAATTTTTTTTTGTCTTTTTGAGACAGGTTCTCTATGCAGTTCAGGCTGGCCTTGAGCTCACTTTGTAGCCCAGGCTGGTCTCGAACTTGCAACGATCCTCCTGCCTCAGCCTCCCGAGTGCTGGGATTACAGGCATGAGCCACCACACCTGGCTGGAGCCTGAAGTTTAAAATCTGGATGCCAATTCGGTGAGGTTCTCCTGAGGGTCTTTTTCTGAGCCTGACTTGTCTTCATATGGAGGAAGGGAGGAGAGAACTCTTTGGGATCTTTTTTATAATCCCATTAATCCTACTTTTGAGGGCACTACCTCATGACCTAATCACCTTTCCAAAGGCCCTATTTCCTGATTCTGTCATACTGGGCTCAAGGCTTCAGCATATGAATTGGAAGGACATATAAAGTCCACTGCATCTGCTTTCTCACTCTCTTTTCCCACCAAAGAGGAGCCACTCCTAGTCTAACTTATGGGCAGAGGACATGCTGTGTCTTGTAAATAACTGCAGTGAATAGGGTTTTAGGCCAGTTTTAACACAGTGACTTGTGGCTTTTCACACCAAAGGGCTCATCAGGCTCAAAGTCCTGACACTGAATCATGAGTCAAGTCCATACAGTTTCCCACACATGGATGCAGAAGCCCAGTAATCACAGTTAATGCTAAGACAAAATCCCAGCAGGATCTTTGCAGGAGGTTTAGTAAGTTCCCCAAAGGGAGATTAGAGATGTTCAATAGTCATTTAATCAAGCCGTACACAAAAGCAAACTCAGCTCTGCTGGCCTCTGGAAACGAGATTGTTTTCTATAACAGGCCCATATATGAAGCTTCCCTCCCAGTGCTGCAGATCTCAGGCAGTGTCTTGACCCTATGCGGGTGGACTCTGTCCTCTGCTGAGGACACAGTCTCAAACACAGGACAACTATGATCGTGACCTCTGCTTGATACGCACCATCTCCCTTCAGATATAAACTCATGAGAAACCACAAATCCAGGAGGTGAAGTAGCCTGTCTGAGGTCACATCGGTAGTCTTGAATCTCGAGCTCAGGCTCCTCTTGTTACAGACCGCTTCTCAAAGCACAGCTGGGAGCTGCTATCCTACATCATTTCCAACTTACCCTCTACATTGTAAACATGTAGCTCCCTTCAAAGTGGCTTTCACTTTATAGTATTGAACAAATAAATTGAGTTCTTAGAGAAATAAAGAGCACATCAATGTACAAAGAGAATCATCTGGTGGTTAGAAGGGCAGAAGGGGGATGTTGAGAATTAGGTAGTTTTACCCAGTGAGGTTAAATAGTCCTTCATGCCATGTCAGCAGAGTCCAAACCTAGAACACCTTGTTCACCCCTCAGAATTCAGTCCTGCACCAACCCATGGCATGTAAAATTTAAAGCTGCAAGTCATACAGAAGATCAATGGTCCTGGAAACCTTTCTGTAACAATTACATCAAGTACTGATATTAAAATATTTTGACACAGTCATTTGTTGGGTGTGTACTATGTCCCAACAATCCTGTGACCAAGAGTAGATTTAGGCAGTTTTGAGACTGGAGTTTCAGAATCTTCCACGCTTCCCTTCATGAACCAAATGCTTCAAACAAGTTGATATAAATCACTTAGTATCATGCCTGGCTCACAAGAATAGCAGTGCTTTATGTGCATCCTGGAATCTTGTACAAGGAAGAGATAAGAAGCACTGTTATTCTCCCCATACACAGATGAGGAAGCTGAGGCATGGCAAGGTTAGGTGAGCTGCTCAATGTAAAAGAGCTAGTAAATGTTGCAGCTGCTTTTACAGACCACCTCTTAACATGGTGCAGAACTGTCCCATGGTCATGTAGCTGCCTAGGAGCACAGAGGGAGACTAAGAGCAAATCCTCTCTCCCTCCACAATCAGAGCTTATTCCCGTATCTAAGCGGCCTAATACAAGAGCAATAGAAATTGTCCTCAGAGCCCTCTGTGAACAGATTGGCACTCATTCTTTCAACAAACATTTGAGCATCTACCTTGTACTCAGTAGAGCGAAGGAAATGGTGAATAATAAAGCATAGGCAAATTCCTTCTTTTCCTTAAAGGCAAATTATAAACAAGATCACTTTCTCAAATGATTCAGGACATTCAAGTGTTATGAGGAAAGTTACCAGGGTGCTTTCAAGCTGGTGGCTAGGGAAGATATCTGTGAATGAAGGAATCAGCCACATAAAGTCTGGAGAATGCTATAAACAGAAGGCACTCAGCTGCCAAGCTCCTGAGGAAGGATTCTTCTTGGCATCTGAGCAATAATAGATAGAACTTCGATTTTACAAAAGAATTTTCTCTAGATTTGGATGGAGAAACAATATCTACCAGATTAAAAGGGCAGTAAATATGTTTGCATTGCCTTTGAAAATTAGAAGTTAATAGGGACAATGAAGATTTCTTATCTCGATTTAGAAATATGGCATCAGGACATGGGAATGTAGCTCAGTGGTTCAGTGCTTACCTAGTATGTGTGAGGTACTGAGTTTGATCCCAGCATTGCAAAAACAAAACAAAACAAAACAAAACAAAACAAAACAAAACAAAAACAAACCCAAAAGGAATTTGAATATTTTTGCAGTCAGTACTTTTGTGAACAGACCATAAGTTGTAGCCCATACTTCAGGGCTTGCATGTCAAACCCAAGAGGGCAAGGACATTCTCAGCTGATATGTTTTAAACAGCCAAGCAAATTCACACTGACCCCAGACCCCATGAGTACAGAGAATAATTCTGGAGGGTAAATATGGAAATGTTGATTTGCTGCCCAGCCTTAGGATCAAGCCCAGATCTGACCCACTTGCATCGTTTTGTAGTGTTTTTCTCAGGAAAATGGAGCCACAACACTGTGCCACTTTGGAAATTCTGCTTGCTGGCTTAGGATGTGACATGTATACTCAGCACACTCTGGGAAGGTTATTTCAACTTTTTGCTACATCAGGACACTATGATTGGTGAACATCAAAAACTTAGAAAAACACACACATCCTTGCCTGTCCTTGGTACGCATGGAGAGTTTCACTAGGCAATAAGTATTCATCTTGGATTTTTCTCTGATCATTCTTTCTGGGTGTCTGCAAAACAACACTGATAACCACTCTCTGGGCAGTGGCTGTCTGCCTTGCTCTCGGGGCAGACTCAGCTTCTGCCTGGAAAGAAGAGGTTCCTACCTTGGGGCTCATGCAACTCCATGGCACTAGATAGAAAGCCCCTGTGAAGGTCCTTGTCAGCATCTCATCAGCCTGAGGCTTTAGGAAGTAGGACACAGTATCTACATTTTTGTAGAATGTCGCTTGAACATGTTAGCTGAATACCCTTAGCTGTTCAGCTGTTCAAACAGTGATGCTAGATGCAGTGAGAACTCTCTCTCTCTCTCTCTCTCTCTCTCTCTCTCTCTCTCTCTCTCTGCTCTCTCAGTGTGTGTGTGCGTGTGTGTGTGTGTGACCCCTTTCCATGGCCAATGTGAAGCTATCAATAACTACAAGAAAGGTCTAGATTGTTTTGAAACTTAAAAGGCTAACACAGATGTGGCCATATGTCTTATTTTCCTCTTGTAGAAGACTGATTTTCTTTTTAAGAGTGGCCCTGTGTAAACCAGGGTTGTAGGACAGGGTAACACTTACCTTTCTGTGATCAGGTGAGATCACAGCCTGACTTACAGGGACAGAGGTGCCTAGTCAGATGTGGAATGGAAGGTTCTTTGTCTGTCCTGGCTGCTTTCCTCACCTTTAAAAAGAGAAGGTTGGATGGGTTGTTTCCCTGGCTTCCTAGTAGGCAGGAAGCCCTAGAGGAAACCATTCTACTGTCCTGCACCGAAATTTTCAGGAGTGATCTATGTCCTTGGCAGCCTGTGGGTGATATTCTTGCAAGATGTTTGGGAACTGAGGCTTGCACTACCTGATCTCTAACAAGTCTTTTGACTTCAAAACCTCTGGCTAAGTCTGGAAGGCAGTGACTCCTAACTATTCTTGAGATTCAGACCTCTCTGCAAATGTAAAAGCTCTAGGTATGCACTTAGAAAAATATCTGTAGGCAAAGAATACTGGATCCAGCTGCAAAATATGGGATCCTCAATTGAGAATTCCTACTCTTAAGGGGAACTCTCTGAGAATCTGAGCATTTAGAACCATGCCTATAGGAAAGTAGTCATCCACTAAAGGTCAGTTATTATTCTAGTCATGTCTCCCAGCTTTTTAATAATATACTAGGATTATTTCTTTTATATATGAGGAACCTGAATCCTGGAAAGATTAACAGGCTTTCTTAGTACTGGCTTCTCTGATTCCTGAGCCAGTGAGTTTAAATGCTGGGTTGCCTAATAAAGTTGTGATCACTTTTGCTTATTTGAACTCATAATGTTTCTGGTTATTTCCCTATGCCACTCTCTTTAGTCATAATTTATTGAGCAGCTACTACTATGTGATAGGAATGTTATGTACACTGTCTCTTGAAAAATGTGCTTAAAATGATGTACACCATGAATGTGTACATTGAGTTGTAAGTAAAGGTAGGAAAATTAAGAAGGTAAATCTATCCTGAAGCCTAGGAATTATTTCCTTTCTGGACACTTTATTTTTGGACAATTTATTTTTCATTGTTACCAGACAACTAGAGATAGAGTTCCTAGTTCAAAATATCATTTTCTTAGGCACCAGAGGGAACAGCAACAAACACAGCTATTTGTAAGAATTCGCTGATTCATCTTAGAGTTTTAAGAAGTTCCCCGTGGTTTTATTCCCTTTTCAGTACTTCAGTGCCCTGCATACACTGTCAACCTGAGCCACATTAATGCTGGTTACAGCACTGCTTATTGATTGGTTGTTTTGTGCTGTTGCTCAAAAGCTTTCAATGCATTATTTCATTTAACTTGACAGCAAGCAGTATCAGACTTTCAAATTTTAGATACTTGCAAAGAGCTTCAAGCACAGATCAGAGATTTTGTGTCTACATGTCGTCCAAGGGGGAAAATACACAACTGAGGAATAGACTTAAGGCAGAGAGGAGAGAGAGAGAGAGAAAGAGACAGACAGACAAACAGACACAGGGAGAGACAGAGACAGAGACAGAGACAGGGAGAGACAGAGAGACAGAGACAGAGGGAGAGACAGAGAGACAGAAACAGACAGGAAGAAGAAAGAAGGAGAAGAAGGAGATAATGAAGAAGAAGGAGGAAAAGGAGAAAGAGAACAAGAAGAAAAGCAGCAGCAGCAGGAGGAGGAAGAAGAGAAGAAAGAGGGAAGGGGGGAGGGAGGGGAAGAGAGAAAACACTGGGGCAGAACTTGTGCCTTCCTGATGATGATTCTTAGGTCTTTCCAGGTGGCATCACTTAATCACTTACCAAGCTGGTACGACCAAGCTCACACACAGAGCAAGAGTATCCTAAATCACAGGACTGCAGGCTCCAGTGACAGGATCCAGCACATAAAAAGGGCCGGTCCCGTTTCATCTGGGTGAGCTCCTGAGCGGCTTCCTTGCTCAGCCTCTCCTGCTGGTGCCCAAGACTGTCTCAAAGGGCAGGCTCTCCCACAGCCACGCCCTGTCCCTAGCACCCTTCCCAGGGCAGAGGAAGTTGCAGCTGCGGGAGGGAACACCTAGGAGGCGCAGCCTCAGTAGCTTTTTCCTGGGTGGCCTTGCCCCGTGTGACATGGCCAGCCAGACAACACTGGATCTTAAATATGCCATCTATACAGGACCCACTGATGAGAGAGGGATCCAGGCCTGCAGTGGGCTGGGCCTATCACGGAGAGGAGAAGCATAGGCTGCTTGGCAGAGAACATCCTGTTTTGGCCTTGAAGGTTTAATTTGTAGTCATGGAAGTGTCTTGAAGCAGTTTTAAGAAGGAACGTTCTCTTTGCAACTTGAAAACTGCACAATGCTTCCTGTAGTGTGCTTGGAATGAATTTCTTTAATAAGTGCATAAATAACATCAGTGCAAGAGGAAGAGCATCACATATCACTCCGTGTGTGTAAAACTGTCAGGGACCTCACTAAATGCCAGCTGCTTAGGCCTTGCTTGACCTGAGAAACTTGGAAAGACCAAAGATAAGAGGTCTCAGCGGAGTACAAAATCCACACCTCATTTTGCAGTTTTCTGCAGAAATCAAGTTTTCCCAGCTGCAGGCTCAGCAGCACTTTGGGGTCCCAGGCCACTTTGCTTTCTTTGGAAGGGTGGCCTAAAAGCACCAGCAGCTTGACCCTACACTCTCAGACGACAGAGAGGGATACTGGTGCTAATGTGGCCTCAGGGGATCAGTGCAAGGCTGTACTCAAAAACTGGCCACGCTAGGCTGTTCTTCTGGTTTTGACTGAACCCCTGCTCTCGGGCTTCCTTTGACTCTGGAGAGTCAAAATGGACATGCCAGTCTCCTGCCTACAGTGCAGAGGCGGCCTACAGCGTAGCAGTCCAGCAGAGGACAGCACTATCTGAAATTATCCAATTTATACTTTAGAGCCACTATTTTTGAAAAGATGGGAGAGTCATTTAAGGGGTGGGCGGTGTGGGTGGGATAGAGAAGTCGGTCCAAAAAGGCCTGAATCCTTCTGGTTCAGAACTAACTCACCCACACTCTTGGTCCCATCGTTTTCCCTCCTGAGGGTCTCGGCGCCCCGTTTCTACAGCCCGAAAACCTAGGAGTTGTATGCCCCACTTGGTGCGCGATCGGGCCCACTCCAAGCTCCGCGTTCCTTTTCTGCGCCGGCCGGGCTGCAGGGGAGCAGGCGCCCGGCTGTCTCCTGAGCACTGAGCGTCCCAGGCGTCACCTCACACGCGGTCGCCAGGCCTCCCTCCAGCCCCGCGGAGACGCTCGGGGTTTCCCGTGAAGCCGAACCCGGACAGCTGCGGCTCGGGAGGGGCCCACCTGTCCCAGCTGGGTCCCCTCCCGGCGCCCCAGGTGGCTCGGGGCGGGGAGGAGCCGCGCCCCGCCCCGCGCGGCCGCAGCCAACGCCAGCCCCGGCGGGCGCGCGGCGAGCCGAGCCGGGAGCCGAGCGGGGCGCGGAGGTCCGGCGGGCGCCGAGCTCGCAGGTGAGCGGGCGCGCGGCGGCCGGGGGCGGTGGTCGCTCGGGGCGCGGGGGCTGCTCCCGGCGCTGCGGGACTGCGCGGCTGCGGCGGGCAATGCGCTGCGCCCCGCCCCGCGCGCCCCGGGAGCCCGGAGCTCGCTCCCGCCGCGGAGGGAGGGTCGGGTGCCGCCGCCGCCCCGGGGCGAGCTGCCGCCAACATCTGCATGGGGCAGGAGCTGGGGACCCGGCAGGGCGGAGTTGGGCGGGTCTTTGAGTGCCCCCCGCGCCTGGCCTGGAGATTTAGGCGGTGCCAGAGGGAAGGAGAGGAGAGGGTGGGAACCAAACTACTGCGGAGAGCGCGGAGCCAGCGGGGTTCAAGGCGGGTCGCGGCCAAGAGCGAGCGAGCGCCCGCGTTTCCCACTGTGGCGGTTCCCCAGGGCTACGGGGGTGCTACTGCTCCCCTTTACCTGGCTCATTACTTTTGGTGTTAAATAACCGACTAACACGTCGGTCAATTACCTGGAGCTTCTGACATGCTGCGTCCGCGAGGCTGCCCTGACTTCTGGGGGCTTAGGTTGTAACGCTGCGGGTCTGTGTGTCCTGGGGCTTTGGGGTGGTGGTGGTGACAGTGGTGGAGGGGTGCAGTCCACCTCCCAGGGCCTGGCGAACAGGGTGTGATAAAGTGCAAAAAGTCTGGAATGGTGTTTAAAGCCTCATTATTAGCTCTGTGACCTTGAGCAAGTTACTTAACTTCTCCGAGCCTGTTTCCTCAGAAGTAAAACAGGTATTATAATCATTAAGATGACTTCAAATTATGTGGCCTTTATAAGGCACATAAGCACTCTGCTTGATGACGGTTCTCTCCTTCATGTCCCTCCATCCCCTTATATCAATGCAGCATTTCGTGACATTCATAATTCTACTCTCCCGTGATGTCCAGAGGCTTAGGTTAGCAGCCCAGGAGCAGGGAAGCCTGGTGGGGCTGTGTTGGGGCAGATGGAGCTTCTTTGTTCACGGCTACTCCTGCTCTAGGCCACTTAGATTAAGAGGTGCCAGTGTGTGGGTCCCACAGACAGACGGGTGTTATCAGCCAGCTCTCATTGTTACCAGCTCTGTAAGAATTATTTAATTAAAAAAATTATTTTCTTGGGGTTGTGTTTTGGTCACTTGAATATACTGTAGCCTTATGCAAAGTAGGAGCTGACAGGATCACATGAAGTCTGAGTTTTAGTTTCTGGTATAGCTAGACCCATGGTCTCATAAAGTTGCATGGTTCTTAGGATGGAATGATAACTGTCACTAGCACCTCATATTCACATGTTCAGGCTTATCTGCTGGTAGGGAGGAAAGCAAAGATGGAGAAGGGAGAGGAAGGAAGGAGAGAAGAGAGAGAAGGAAGGAGGGAGAGAGATCTGTCAATCTTCTATTTCCTCCATCCTGATAGCAAATCTCATGGGTACCCTGGACCAAAGGCAGGGCTAAGCCATCTCAGCAGACAGGGAGTGGCTGTATTTCCCAAGTGTTGCCTGCACCTTCGAGGTTAGTCAGCCACTTTAACAGTCTCACTTCCAACTACAGGGAATTGGGAATGGGGTACAGTTCCCAGTGAGAAGTCTGAATTCTGGGCAGACAAAAGATAGAGCATCACCTAAGGGAAATAGAGAGTACAGTGGAGGCTACTTTGTTCTCAATGCAGTCTTCATCCAAGGTACAGGAAGCATCCTGTGTGTTCATCTTTTCATTCATCGTTTTGTTGTTCTTCCATTCATTTATTTCACATTTAGTAAATGCCCAGTTTGTGCCAGGATCTCTGCTGAGAGTGGAGTGCTTCCTTTTGAGAAGCTCACAGTCCAGCTGGAAAAACAAATGTGCAAGTCACAATGTCTGGGACTGATAATGTGTCTGGGGACGCAGTGAGTTTTCCCAAGGAGCTACAGTTGAGCTCTAAGTGGGTAATGAGTAGAGATGATTGAGGAGAAGTTGAGGGACTTCCCAGGCCACGTGGTTGGGTATCAGTACGGGAATTTTCTGATGTAAGTGATATTGTGTAGGTTACTTAGGTGTGTGTGGATAGGTGGTTCAAAGTAGTCACAACTCTTGGTTGGGTTCTAGAAAATTTTCCCTGCCCTGTGCGAGGTGACTGGAGGTTTTTTTCTGCCTCTATGTAATAGTATCAAATAACAGAAAGGGAAGGACAAGACCTTGCATCTCATCCTTGTGGATGAGAGAAGGCTAATTTTCTCAGAAGTTGCCTGTGATGGCCAGTGTCATAAGTAGAATAGTCACAAGCCCACCCTAAACAAGTTATTGACAAAGGAGAGGAAGGTGGCTTTGAATTGCTTAGGCCAAGCAATCTTCTGGAGCTGGAGAGGGACTCACTCCATATCATGAACACAATCAGAATTCTGTGAGCAAGGAAGAGCCTGACAGACTGTTAAGCAGGCAGTCAGCCATGTGTCCCACAGGTGGTGACAGGTACCAAGAGGCAGAGTATATATGAGAAATCCGGGAAGTGCAGTACAATAGGAAAAGTCCAGGGTGTGGCTGAGAGCAGAGGGAGTGGAGACTGAAGCAACAGACAGAGACAGGCGTACCCTAATGTTGATTCCACTGTGGGGTTTACCAAGAAGTATCAATCTTGTTCCATTCATCAAGGAGCTCACACTGGAAACGCAAGGTTTTCTAAGTTTCCCGTACTCCCCTTAGTAATGGCAACATGGGCTCCCTGTGGCAGTAATTCTTTGTAAGGGTGTCTTGGGGATACTTTCAGGAGGGCCATGTGTAGTTGGAAAAGCCTTCGGGATGATTCTGCTGGGCCTTTCACTGCCCACCCTTCCCCAGAGCCTCTCCTAGTCTCCTTCCTGAAAATATTCTGTTCTTTAAAAAAATGGCTTTGTTTTGGTATTCTTACTTCTCTTCTAACTAACAGGCTGGGACTTGGTGAAGTTGCAGTCAGTGGTAGATCCTGGACAAGAAAACAATTTCCCCTGGTGACTGATTTAAATTGTGTTTAATAGGAAGCGGGCCTTTGGTTAGAGCTTGGTGAGAAATGTGGTAATTTAAAGCTATTTCATTAGCCTGTTTACATCTGAAGCCTAAGGTGAGCCCTGGCTGCTTTTGTGTCCACTTGACAGGGTGGCTATGGGTGGACATTTGATGCTCAGCTAAACAACCAGGAATACCACTCCTCACGATACTGTCTCCTCAATATCTGGTTAGCGTAGAAGTTGGCTAGAAGTTGCTTACTGCTCTGGAAAGGAGAAGAGGAGGAGGGCAGCATACTGTGCTGATTTTATCAGCAGTATTGCCATGGGCTGGCTAGGACCACTGGAGAAATGTGAAAGAATGAGGTAGAATGATGAGCCTTAGACTGCCTGTCATTCATTCCGCAGATGTTTCCTGAGCACTTACATGTGACGGATGCTGTTTTAGCGCTGGGGATTTCCAAAGAGTACTTAAGAATGACAGAGTCCCTGTTTTCATGGAGTTTGCAGTCATCAAAAGAAGTGCTTATTAAAAAAAAAAAAAAAAAGAAGTGCTTATGTTTTGTTCAATATTTCAGGCAATGAGAAGTACTACAATGAAAACCGAGAAGGGTTTAGAGCAGAGATCAGTTGTAGGAAATCAACTGGGTATAGTACTGGGAATCTCTTTTCTGTATTCATCAGAGAAATATGGTTTGAGGAGGCATAGTTTTAGAAAAAACAAAAGACAGATAATCACTTGGGTTAAATATTGAGTAACTTGATCTGATAGGATTTATTTCATGGAGCTTTGTTTTTAGTCTTGCATTGTTCCTACAACAACTTTCAAAAATATGGTAGTAAGAGATGAGAAATAAGTGAAGACATACGAGCAAAGGGAACTATAAGGTAGTTTCTCTGTCATTTTGTTCCAGGATTGTTTAGTTTGGGTAGTAGAAGAGGAAATATATGTGATCATTCATGCTTAGAGTTCATTATTTAAAAGGTGAGAAAATAAATTATAGTGCATTAGAAAATTACATTTTGCACTTATGCCACAAAGCTAAGCCCCCAGCCCCTAAGAACTAGTCTTATTTATTTTATTTTATTTTTTATTGGTACCAGGGATCTAACTCACGATGATGCGCTTGTAAGGCAGGCGCTTATGCCACTGAGCTAAATCCCCAGCCCCAAACTAGTCTTACTTAATAGAAAGAGAGATCTTTTTACCAAGAGTGTATGTGAAATTTATCTCCTGGGTGAGAAAAAGAAAAATAAGGTTTTTGGTTGATATAGAGTACACCAAATATTTGTTTGTTTGTCTTTGAGACAGGGTCTTGCTATGCAGTTCACTGGCCTTGAGCACACTTTGTAGCCCAGACTGGTCTCAAATTTGCAACAATCCTCTTGTCTCAGCCTCCTGAGTGCTGAGATTATGGACATACACCACTATACCCAGCAAGTACACCAAATGTTAACAGATGGACACTAATTCCAAGGTCAAATATTGAAAAAATATATAAATTTAAATAAAAATTTACAATATAGTAATGCTACACAAAGGTAATTTTGATTAGCTATTTTTATTGAGTTTGTTTCCTTGTTAATTTGTGAAGTTTCTTTATATAATCTAGATCTACATCTTCTGTCAAAAATGTGATTTCATAACAGTCACTCTTACTTTCTGCTTTATTTTTTAATGTAATGTAAGTCATCCAATGTTTTTTTTTTCAAAATTATTATGACTCTTCTAGTCCTTAACTTTTCCATAGTAATTGTGAAATCAGCTTCCAGTATCTTCAAAAAGTTCTGAGATGGAACAAGTGGAAAACAGCTAGCAAGACAATAGATTTTAATTGAACCATATCAATATCACAGTAAATCTGAATGATTTAGTGTTAAAATGATTGGTTAAAAAAGTGTCTCAGGTATATGTTGTCTAGAAGAAACCCACCAAAATATACATACATATACAGGCTGAAAATATAGAAAAAAGATAAACAATGAAAACTTTAACCAAAAGAAAACCAGAATAGCTACTGTTTGTATTCTAACGTGGACTCCAGAACAAGGAGTAAAGGGGAATATTGTATAATAAGCAAAGGATTGGTTCTGCAAGAAGACATTAGCAGTCTAAAATGTGGCTGGAATTAATAGTGTATATTCAAAAAATATGAAGCAGAAGATGATAGAAAGGAGAAATTTAAAAATCTGCATTTCTAGATGAGGACTCATATTTATCTGCCCATAAATTTGACAATCAATTCTTTGAAAGATACAAAGTACCAAACCTCAACAAGAAACAGGTACTGACTAGTCCTATATTCATTAAAGAAATAAAGTTTATAGCTAAAAACCTTCCAATAAGAAAGCTATAGGTCCACTAGATAGTTTTACCATTATCTTTTCTTTTCACTTGGGTCTTTTATAAATTATTTTTAAATTTGGTGTTTCACTGCTTCAACATCTGTGTCATATCTGAGTCTGGTTTTGTTTATTGCTATATCTCATATGTTGCTTTCTAAGTACTCTGTACCTTTTTGGTTGAGAACTAGACATTTTGGCAGGACATTAGAGACTGAGATAAATAGTTTTTATGCATGGAACAGGCATGCCTTTCTGCTTCTACTGTGAATTTAGTGTGACTATAGATCATTCTAGTCAAGTGTTGAACCAGACTTGAGAATTACTGTTGCTGTAATTACAGTGCACCCCAGACTTCAAGTTCTTCTAAAGATGCCTCGTATTTTGGGTTGGGGTGGGTTTACTAAAAGTCTTCTGTCACTGTGTATTCCACTGTCAGCCTTAGGTCTTTATTCTGCTCTGTGCTGCAGAGTGCTCTATGTCCATATGTTTTTAGCGTGCTCTCTCTCTCTCTCTCTCTCTCTCTCTCTCTCTCTCTCTCTCTCTCTCTCTCTCCCCCTCATATTCTACTGTTATTTCTTATCTGATACTTGTTTGTCAGTGGAGATGCACCTGCCCCAGTTGAACGACTCCTCATGTCTTGCCTCTTCCTGCAGGTACTATTTCTCCTTAGAGTTTGGCCTAATGTGTTCTGCAATCTCAGTTTAGTGGATCTGAAAAGGTTACGAATTTGCGGTTTACAGCTTTTGTTTGTGGTAAGCATGGAAGTTGTCTAAGTTTTCTTATTGCTGAGATGAAATACCTGACTCACAAAGTTAAAGGAGGAGAAGTTTATTTTAGCTCACAGTTTGTAGAGGTTTCAGTCCGTAGTTGGTTGACTCCAAGGTAGGGTGGCCTAGCAGAGGGGATCACAGGGGAGAATCAGTCTATGGCAGAGAAGGCAGGAGCCCACAAAGCAGCAAACAGCAGCAGCAGACAAAGTAGTGGGCCTCCCTTTCCCTTTTATAGGTTCAAGCTGTAAGCCTTTTGGGTGGTGCCACCCCCACAGGGGTGGGTCTTCCCATTAGCCTCATCCAGAACTGTGCTAAACTATTCAGTGGACTCATTTAATACCATAATTCTTCATCCCAGGATCACACACCCTAGATTCAGCCATCTCTGAGAAGCAGCACTGTATGCGAATGAGGCTTTGAGGGGATATCTGGATACAAGCAATAACAGGAGAAATGCTCTTTTTTTTTTAAAGCTCTATATCTACTGAGCAGGCATTAAAAGCTTTGATTTCTTTTTTTTCAAGCTCTTTTTATGATCTTCCTGTAAAACCTTAGGGCTGTTTTCCTTCCCTCTATGCTCTGTAAAATGTCATCTACACAACTCATACATACAAAATCAGTGGTTCTCAACCCTTACTTGGGGAACATTAAAATAAAATGCAAATTTTGGGTTCCACTGTCTCAACTGATACATGCCAAGACTGAGGCACGGGTGGCTTTTATAAGCTACCCAGGTGATTGTAGGCTGAGAAGCCTTGGTCTAAGTACCACTTACAATCTTTCCTTTCACAGAGGTGCAATTGCAATATAAGTGGCCAAATGAAATTTCAGGCTTGTATAGATTCACCCGAGTGGAATCATTTATCCCCTAATTGTGTCTTCAGTGGTAGTGAATTGCCAGTGATGTGAACTAATGTTCTCACAGAATGGGGAAGAAACTTAAGAGTTCTCATTTAACTTTATACTGCTTACATGAATGCACTTCATGACAATCTACGACCTGGGTGCTACTTGAAGTTTTTCAGGAAACTCTGCCATTCAAAATAACAACCCCATTGTGGGATAGTCTTACTTGTTAGAGGCATTTTCTTCTATTGAATTGAACTGAATTGAAAAATGTTCTCTTCTATAATCTACCAAATATTTTACCTTACTCACTGTCTTGCAAACTATTTGAAACAATCTATTTGTGTGACTCAGTACATGTATATGTCCACATGGGCATGTGCATATGTGCACACACCCACACACATGCTTGCTCATGAAAAGCATTTTACAAAATAGCACTTACTATCTCTTGTAGGCTGAATTGATTTCACAATAAAGCAAGAAGTTGGTTTTGCTGCATGAAAAATGCTGGTAAGCCCATTTTCTACTTGACAAGTTTTTCAATGTTTATGAACTGTTCTCTTGGTGCCTCAGAGAGTTCTTGGATCTGGTATAATATTGATTTCTCCAACAGTTTTTCCAGCCGCCTCATAGTCTTTCTGGTTTTATGCATGTACTGGGTGAGATGTCCAGTAATGTTTCATAGCTTATGGCCTGTTTGAGAGACAAAGACATGCAAGATCAATACCAGTGAGTCATGTGATATAGAAGTGGTCACAGGTGAGAGAGAGATTATACAGGTTGTCAAGAAAGTCTGTATTTGGGCTTTGAAGGTTAGCGTCAGCCACGTGGAGTAGAAGTACGAGGAAGGAGGAAGGATTTCAAAGGCTCTCCTTTAGGCATCTCCTGACCTCTATGACTTCCTCTAGAAGTGACTTGGTATACAGGGTTTGAGAGAAACCTGAGGTTAAATACAAAGAGGAAATCTAAGTTAGATTGTTTCCATAGAAAATGTCACAAAAAGTAATAAATGAACTGTCCTTGGGTCCCCAGGCCAGGTCCCTCAGGAGCTCTGACTCTCTGACAAGTGTAGTCACTGTGTTGTTCTGGAAGCTATTTCTTGTGGTGAGGTTCAGCTTGCCAGGGCCCGTTTCAGGGCCAGGCTCTTTAGCTCTGCTAAACACTTGTGACTTCCATGAAGTACTGGAGCATAACCCTTTCCCCACTGGCTTAACTGTGTCTCTGTTTTCTTCTCAGTGCTTAATCAGATGCATCATATTTGCAACTGTGCTACTTTCAACCCTCTTACAATTTACCTGTGAGGTAATCTGAATATGCTTGTTTGTAATAAAACAATGCCACTATCAAATGCTGTGGAAAAACCAAGTACATATTAATGGTATCCTGCTGAAAGCACCCCATTCATTTTGTGACTATTTTATTTTGGTAAAAAACAGGGATGGATGTACACTATAGGAAAATTATCTGGATTATTTTCCTTTAACAAGGCGAGGGAGTTACAGTTCTCAAGCAACTACAAAATGAGGACTATGCGAGATCCATCGCTGTGTCTAGACCACTGGGTCAGTGTTAGTGTTACTGAAAGTGTTATACATTTCTGCTGGAATTTAGTGCCAGGATGGTAGTTTGTTGCCCAGGAAGAGCTGATAAACAGTGGAGATTTATAAAATTCCTGGTATTTCTCCTTTTCTTTGACTACCAGGAAACTTGAAGTTAAATGTAAGAATTTTCTATTGTGGTGATAATTTAATTTCAAATTCTAAATATATAGATGTCCAGGGCTGGGGATTTAGCTCAGCGGCATAAGCACCTGCCTTGCAAGCAGGCAGTCATGAGTTCGATCCCTGGTACCGATAAAAATGAAAAAGACAAAAATATATATATATAGATTTCCTACCTTAATATGATTTCATCTTTGTTTAAAAACAATTTTTAATATATACTCATTATAGAAAATGCAAAAAATAATAGTTTCCCACATAACTACTAGATATTTTCCTACCACATGGAAAGTCACAAATTATATCTTTATCATAATCACTGAAATTTATTCTGGGTATATATATATTACAAAAGTGAAATGATATCTTTTACACTGTATTAAAACTTACCTTTAAAACTTAGCATTTATAAATATTTTCTATACCATTAAATATTCCTGCACAGCATTATTTTTAATGGATGGTATAGTTCATATGAGGATGTATCTTGTTGCTGTACTTTAGTTAGAATTTCACTTTTTGTTATTATAAATAACTCTGTCATATATATTCGTATTGCTAAAACTCTGAACACATCCACTATTATTTTCTTTGAAAAAGTTTCTAGAAGTGACATGATTGAGTAAAAGCCTAGAATATTTTTAAGATTTGTAGACATATATTTCCATGCTGCCCTCCAGAAAGCATGAACTAATTTACATTATTGCCTGGAGTTTGAAATGCTTCTTTTCCCAAGCCTCGCCTAGTATCGGGATTATTGTTTTTTAAATCTGCATTGGGAGACAGGACTTCTGGGTATGGCCTGGAAGAGGCTGCATATCCTTCCTCCTAGTAAGCTGCTATAAATCTGAACAAGTGAATAGAAACAGTTGTGTTCACACCGTGGTAATCCATGAAAGCATGCAACAATTTGAAAAGTGTTTAGTCTTGAAAAACTTATGAATTCTGAGTGGGAACAGTGGGAGTTAGGCTTTTCTGCTCCCACCTCCCCACCACCTCCAGCTCAGTGGGTGCAGAGGGCTTCATGGTCAAAGGACACCAGGAGACGGACTCCATGCTGCCAGGACCGATGCGTGTTAGTGGGGGACTCCAGTACCCCTGGGTTGTGATCCTAGTTCTGTTTCTCCATTTCAGTTCACCTTGAATCTTTAAAAAATGTTATTTTATTATAAATGTTTATAATCAAAAGCAGAAAATAAACAAGGAGAAGAAAATGAGAAACATCTTCCCCTATCCTGCTGTAGGTGTTCTGTGCTGATGGAGATGTTTTGTTTCCTTGTCCTTATGTAATTAATGGAACATTTGAGTGGCAAATACAATTTGATAACCTCAGTTTTAAATTTGATTAATTTTATATAATTTACATTGAAATATTCATCCATTGGTAGTGGCTATGATTTTTCTGTAAGTGGAAGCATGGATACATATATACATAGTTAAAAATAGGATAATACTGTATACTGTGTTTTGTATACTGCCTTTTGTGACTGATAATATATAATAAATCTAATTTTGATGGCTAGGTCATATTCTACTGAATGAATATACTATAATTAGCCTTCCAACTTTGTTCTTTTTCAGTGTTGTCTTGGCTGTTCTATGTCCCTTACATGTACATAGGATTAACTGGTTAATTTCTACAAAAAAGTGAGCTGGGTTTTGATAGGGATTACAATGAATTTGTAGATCACTTGAGAATATTTTCTTTTTGTTTATTTAAAAAATTTTTATTTTAAAAAGAATAAAACAAAACAAAATGGAACAAAACGTCAGAAAAAAACAATGCAATCAACACAGGATTTCAAAACAAGACAACAGGACGTCAACAATGATTACCATAATGTCTCATTTTCTTCAAAATAGTTGTCCACTTGAGTATATTTTCATCTTAACAATGTTAAATCTTCCAATCATGAATCTGGAATATTTTTCCATTCGTCAGATCTTCTTTAATTCCTTTAAATAATGGTTAGCAATTTTCAGTGTAAAAGTCTTGATCTTCCTTTCATGGTTTATTCCCGAACATTTTATTCTTTTAAATGCAAATGTAAGTAAATTTGCAAGTATCATTTTTGGGCTGTTCATTGGTTGTGTGTAGAAGTATACTTAATTCTTGTGTTTTGATCTTGTATTCTGAAACCTTGCTGAACTCACTGATTATGAGTTTTTATAGTAAGTTTATTTGGATTTTTTATAGTCAAGAACGTATCATCTACAAGTGGAGGTACTTTAACTTCTTTATTCCCCCATCTGTATAACATTTATTTATTTAGTCATTCTTGCCTAATTGCCTTTGCCAGAAACAACAGTGCAAGATTGAATAGAAGTGGTGACAGATACTCTTGTCTCACCATGTCTGATATTTCTGATTAGTGAGATATCTCTGTGAAGTATGACATTTTTCTATGACCTATTCTATTTTTATATATTTTTCTGTGACCTATTTCTATTTTTATACTCTAAGAGTATCAGCTAATTTTTCTTAGAGAAGTAATGTAACTTTCCTTTGTCTTATGCTTTGGGAGGCTTGACCTAGTGGCTATTAGTAAATAAGTATTTTAATTGAAGAATCTATTAATGCAACACCTAGGTGCCAATGAGTTTGACTAATGTAACCTAGCATGGATGCATTTATTACTTAAAAATACAAAAAAAGTACTAGGTTTTCCATCCTTTGCATATTTTGAGATGCCCAATAAGAGGAAGACATTATCCTACTCCAAATCTGAGCTACTTGTAAAGCTTCAGGAAGGCTTCCTATTCTGTTTAATTGCGCATTCAACTTTTCTTTGTAAAGAGGACCCTCCATCTATTTTACACTTGTCAATTCAAAGGATTAGCTAAGATGTATATTAAATCATAACTGTGCTTACTGTTAAATCATCTCTGCAGTAAAGAATGAAGGTGGTATTAGTAAAAGCAATTAAGTACCTAAGTCACACCTTAAGACAATTTGAGTAGTTTTTTTTAAAGAAGTTAATTCAGAGTCGTATAGTACGTGTACTTCCATTTCTGTTTCTCTATTTAAAAGGAAATACTTTATTCTAGTTTTATTATATAGTGTTTATTATTATAATGAAAATTATATCAGGTTTCTTTTTATCATTCTACTGGTAAAATGAAATGCAAACATTTTGGTCTTCGGCTACAAAAGAAACTGAATGGTCTCCACAAACCTTTCAAGTTAAATTAACTTTTCAACAAATCTGAAGTTCTAGTTTCCCATTTTTTTATTACAATGAGTTTTTTTCTTTTGATTATGGGAGGGGTGAGATAAGGCTGCAGAATGCTTTCTGCTTCATGCTGTTTATTGCACACAATACAGAAGCCAATTCCACCGAAAAGGAAATGGAAAAATAACGACCCTGTTTGTGCCTTGTAAGCAGTTTGTGAAGTCCCTTCTAGTTTCTACGATTAAGTGTTGGCTTCTCTCCTTGCATACTTCTAAAATGAAATTAAAAAGAGGAGTAAACAGCACTATAGAACCCAGCTCAAATACTGTATAGGGACAAGCCCAGAAGACTGAAGAATTGCAGCATTTCAGGCAGTGTTTTTCAGAGCTGTACAAAATGCAGTAGAGGAGAAAGACTATAAAGGGGATCCTGAGAAAGTTCCAGGTCATTTTGAACTCTGATGCCCTGGAGTCAATTTTGGTGTGGACAGGAGAAGGAGGATTGGTAGTTCTGGCAGAGCAGTCTCTATTATGTGTGACAATGCTTCATAAACAGATTGCCACCCAGTTATTGTTCACCCCACTCTAAGCTTCAAAGTTGCCCTGGGATTTGCTAA